TAAATATATCGTTGATTGCCATTCCGACGCAAAGTAAAAAAAATAGCAAAACTTCCCGCTTTCAATATTTTTAACGAGCCTCCGTAAAACGGAACGCAGCGAAAAACAAAAAACGCCACGTGCTGAAACAAAAATGGCCGCCCTCTGCTCACCTATAAACAAAAGCCACCAGCTCATTGTCGCTGTTTTAGCAGAGCTCCCGCTGACAATGTTGGTAGGACACGTGGTGTGCACAAGCACTACGTTATCTCGCTTTCTTGAGTTTTGTTTGGGCTTGGGTGAAACCCGTGAAAGATTGAACGGCAAACAGAGATCGAGACTCGTTAACCACAGACAGACAAGCAAGCCATTAAAGGCTCAGAGCCAGCTGATGCCATAATAAATCCATTTTACATTATTGTGGGCCGAGTTTATTAGGGCCGTCTGATGTAGGGTTGACTCAGAATCCATGTCAAGGATGTTTTCTCCCGAGTTAAACGTTGCTGCAGGGGCAGCTTCGCTCAGACGCTCGTGCCCACCATTTGTGCTCCCTGCAGAACCATGGGTAGATGTATCCATCAATGACATCAGACGAGTGAGCAGGCACAGGCCGCTAGAAGGGATGACAGACGATGGTCAAGAATAATAACGGAGTGGCGGTCGAGCAGTGGGAAGCATCCAAGAGGAAGTTTATTGAAGAGATGGAGCGATGAATTCAGTTCGTGTGCAGGTGCTGGGCGGATTGTTGCATCAAAGGAATGGTGAGAGGTGGTGGTGGTGGCCTGGGGAGGCATTCATCCAGCAGTGGATTAACCATGGGCGATGATGATTATAATATACAACGCTTTGTCAATCAACGCCTGGATGTTTCTACTCAAGAACCTTCATACTGCCAAAGTGCAGACTAAAAACGTTACTCTTTTGTGTATAGAACTAACATTTCTCCACTCCTGAACCTCAAACTATACTTGTGTGTTGTGTCGGTCATCAGCTGTTGGTTTAAACACATGCCACCATTCAGGTCAGCAAGGATTGGTGATAAGTGGAGGGGGCCCAGGAATTGTTCCGATATTACTCGCCGCTGATTTATCCGTGGTCGGGAATTGGACTCGGGCCGCCAGGATGAGAACCTTTCAGAATCAGAATTTGTATTAATCCTGGAGAAATCCGATGAGCTAATAAGCTCTTTTTCACAGATGCCCAGTAGTCACAGATGTCCAATAGCGCGGATTATGGTGCGGTGCATGAACGACAGCCCCGTCGCTTGAAAAATTTCTTCAATTTGTCACCCGCGAATGATTTTTAAACCGTACATTTATGCGGGCAGATTTCGTTTTTGTGTGGAAGAATTTGAGGCCCGAAAACGTTGTGAAGAATTTGGCTATCCATACATTTTGTGAAATACGCTTAAACACGTTACCTAAGTCACAAGCGGTCGATTTCATTTAAGGTCAGGCTCATAGGCGATACATTTATCTACAAGGTTCATGGGCTGCAAACGATAACGCGTTATTCCGCGCTTGTTTTTATGTCCCAAGCTGTTATGCAGCAATGTGTGTTGCGGTGGAAGAGAAATAGGTTAGCCTTGGCTGATGCAAATTATTTTATGAACCAGCAATGTGCAACCACAAATTTTCAAAAACTGCAATTCATGGCCTATAAATTGCAAAGCAAAAAAAACGAATTGACCGACAATTTCCCTTTGAAAGCTGTTCACGTAATTATTCGAAAAACTAATGAAGGTTAAATATCGAAAGCGAGAGAGAATACGTAGATTCTGAAATAGCCCAAAGAGCTCAACTGACCGCATGTGAAAGACAGTGCTGAGACATTACAAAGCTGACCCTACATCCTGTCTAGATTTGAAGCTTTTGCGACTGCAAGGATTCATACTCTTAGTTTTTTTCTTTAAAGTCACGTAGGTAAAAAAATATTATGATAAAATAATAATAAATGAAATTAACTAAATTAAATCACGACGTTTCGAAGGCAACACAAGCTCCCTTCATCAGGTGTAAAAAAGGCACAGCAAAATAACTGTAGTGAGAGTTATTTCCTTCCCTCGCACTGCTGCCCTTTGGAATGTCCTCCCATCATCGTTGTCACTTTTCTCGAGCTCATAACATCGCACAATTCAGGAAACGGGTTCAATCTCATCTATTACGTCGTTGATGGTGCTGTTTGCTGCTGGCCCCTTAATATTTTGGGCATTTGGGCCCTGTGCTCAGCAACCGGTGTTAGAGATCAAAACCAACGCACCTACAATCTCATCTGAACTCCAAGCAAGTCATGCCAAATGGAAGCTAAGCAGGTTTGAGTCGGGTCAGTCCTTGGATGGGTGGCCGGGGGTGGCCAGGCTTTGCCAGGTGTTGTAGGCATGGGGTTGCGAGGTGCGGCCAGGAGATGGTGTGCGTGAGCGATGCCCCTTCGTGCACCTGGTGGGTTCTCTCCGGTTTCTCCGGCCTCCTCCCACGTGTCAGACATATTCTCATTCACGGAGTTGAGCACAAGTCAAGAGTCGAAAGCCTCCTCGTAAGGAGGCTTGACACTCAGAAAGAGTTTATTGGGTAAATTAGTGGCGCATTATAATTATGATCACTCTTGGAACCTCATTTGCCAGTAAAAAATATGATAATTGGTGTTTTACCCTTTTATCTGGAAACAAAACTGACACCTTTTTTTTACAAGGAGTCATGTTTGCATAGACCACAATAACTGCAGTCATAATGCAAACAAAAAACATAACTCTGATAATGAATGCACTGTCCTTGAAGTTGATTGGTCCACACCCGAGACAGCTTTCCTTAGAGCCTAGTCTCACATGGTGTTGGACCACATGACGACAAAAGGCCTTTTTTGGCGTTATGACTGCAGGTATTGTGGTCTATGCAAACATGACTCCTTGTAAAAAAAAAAGTTGTCAGTTTTATTGCCAGATAAAAGGGTAAAAAACCAATTATCATGATCACTCTTATTAAATTAAATGGTCGCAGGGTGGGTGCTGTGCTAATGCTTGTTCCTCAAAGCAAGAAGAACCTGGGTTCGATGTCCTCCCCCCTGTTCTGCATGGGTTTGTTCTGTGTTATTTAGTTCTCTCCCATAGCTAAATAGAACTGGCATTGGCCACACATCCCAATGTTGAAATGTTACCTGCAAATATGACCTACTCAATTACACAGCAGCGACATCGGCCCCTCTACTGCAACAACCTCACAGGACCCCCCCAGCAAAGAGAGAATTGAGACTCAATACGGCTTTCTTGGCTAAACAAGTGGGGAGATATAAACCAAAATAACTTTTTTATTGGATCAACCTAGCGGTTTGGTAAATAAATACAAATGCATACCGTGGGTTTCATAGTAACAGAGTAACGTATGCGCATTTCGCATGTAATCACACACCGGTTGATTGCTTAAGGTAACTTCTTATGCTCACGATACGTGCATACAGTGTGGAGTGTGCATGTTCATATTATTTATGAGCTATGCAAAACAGGGCAGACGACTAAACGTGCGCATTGCTACAGTTGCGTTGAGGCTCATGGAGCGAGCACAACTTTGAAGACGAGATGGAAAGAATGAAAAAGACTACAAATGAGACGGTAGAAAAAAAGAAATGAAAGTAATGGATTAAAAAAAAATCTTAAAGTCTGCCTGTGGGGAGCAGGGTGATTGATCCATGGCTAGTGTGGATGTTGAGTTTCAATTAACTGACGTGCATTGCATGTGCGCAGTCATTAAACACAGCAGGCTGGAACCAACTCCAGTTGACAAGGGTTGGCCTGATTTCCCCCAACATTCGAGTTGAAGGGCAAATTGGGGTGGGTAAAAAAAAGTGACCATTATATAATATTTCGAGTTGCTCGCCTGGTCATGTGAGATGGGCACAGCTTTCCCAGTAACACTTCTGAGTAAAGACTTGTCTGGAAATTATCGCGAGTTAAAAGCCACGACCGGGTTTTCTGCCATTTTTAACAAAATGGTAAGTCTTCTTGGTTATTTCGTTAAAGTCACGTAGAAGGGAAGTAATAAAATAATATAAATAAAACATAATAAAATAATTCTCACGACGTTTCGGCCACAACGCAAGCAGCCGTCCTCAGGTGAAGAACATGTCACCTGAGGACGGCTGCTTGCGTTGTGGCCGAAACGTCGTGAGAATTATTTTATTATGTTTTATTTTTATTATTTTATTACTTCCCTTCTACGTGACTTTACCGAAAGAACCAAGAAGATGAATCCCTGCAGTCACGAAAGCTTTAAATCGAAAAATGGTAAGTGTGAAATGAAAGTAAAGTCTTCACGCCACCGCCGATTTAGGCACGGTTGGCAACGTACGGTGCGAAAGAAGTTCAGCTCACATGCATACGTAGATCTGGTGATGTCAATTGTTAGGCCAGCCCCTGAAACGACACCGGCCCATGGGAAATTTGAGCTGGGGCCAGAATTCACGTCTGACTCTTGTTGACAAAATATCAACAAAAAAATAATAATAATGCGTAAATGTGCCACTGGGACGGCAGCTCAAGCTCAGACTCGGGTCACGTGGCTCATGGAGACCGCGTATTATTGTCATTTGCGTCGAGGATTTTTTTAGATCCACTGCTGGATGAGTGCCCTCCACCCACGCCGAATAAGTTTCACCTGGAAAATTCCTTGAGGTGGAAAATCTCATTTTCAACAATGTCCAAGGTTTCAATTTACGCACACATAACATGCACGTAATGACACGTATATAAATATTGCGTGGGGGTTATTTTACCATACTTCACCACTCTCGTCGTTGGGGGTTGATGGACGTGGATGGCGCAGATGTGGGAGCATAGATGCGCAGTACAATACCTACGCTGTGGCCAGCAGTGAGCTCTCTATGCTCTCCACAGCATGGGTACGAGTTATCAGTGGTGATGAGCTGTCGTTATTACGAATCGTGTTAATGATTTCATTGTTTAAAAAAAAACAACTCTTACGAATCGAGTTGTAATAGTGTTTCGGGCTCTGTGTGTGTGCGGTGCCACGCACCTGTTGTGAAGTGTCGTGGCTGGGGGGGCTGTAGGCGGAGGCTCCGCCGGTCCCCGTGGGCCCCAGGCTGAGCGTTGACACCTGTCCTGAAAATGAAACACGCATCGGCGTTTTCAGTCTTAGCGGAGAGACATGGGAGAGACAGAGGAGAGACAAAGAGAGACAGAGGAGAGACAGAGGAGAGACAAAGAGAGAGAGAGGGGAGAGAGACAGAGAGAGGAAAGACAGAGAGAAAGAGACAGATGACAGACAGAGAGAGACACAAAGACAGAGGAGAGACAGAGAAAGAGAGACACATATGACATAGAGAGAAAGAGGAGAGAAAGAGAGACACAGATGACAGAGAGAGACAGAGGAGAGACACAGAGAGAGAGAGGGGAGACACACGGGCAGTTCCACCACACTTCGGACACTACTTTTGCGGACACTTTAAGGATGTGGGTAATCGTACGCAGTCAAGAGTGATTTCCTGCTCGAATTACTATTTGCGGCGAAGATCATCTCCAGCTCACAGCCCTGAGACGAGTGGTGGGAATTTCACATTTCCTATGGTGGGGTCGAGAATATCCATGGAACAACCGCTGGCGACTTCAGCCAAAAAGTGGTGCTTATTTTATTGAATCCAGCGGAATGATGGGCTGAGTCAACCCCTCACCGGAATTTTAACTCGCAACCTTGCGATTGCGAGCCGCTCGCTCTGACCTTGAGCTGCCTTCAGAAATGTGTGTGATACAGGACAGAATTGAATCTCCTGGCAGATTAACATCGAATTCATGATCGATCGGAACTGCCCATTTCATTTGTACAGAGTCTTTCCCAGTCAGCTGGAGCTGGTGAGCTGTCAGCAGCAGGATTATTTCACGCACTTTAAACTTCGCTGCATAAGCACCGGTCACTGAACGAATCAACAACAGAGAGACAAGTTGCGCGGGAGAACGCCTCTTCCGCGCTCCGTTCTTATCTTCGAAAACTTCCGAGTGCGTAAAAGCAGAATGTCTGCCCCTTCTCAGATGTGCGCTGAGCACATGATGGAAACGAACTCCGCACTCGCGTAGACTGTCCTGAAATAACAATTGGTTCACACAGACACCCACAGATGAGGATTTACGAATGAGCACGCGCAGGGCGCTTGCTCGAATGCCTCGGAAAGCCACGGCACCTCGCATCGAATCAACCCCGCTGCAGTCTAGCCAAAGGGGCCCCCCAAGCGGCAGCTGCCTCTGCGCGGCACGAGGTATTACGCCGCGGCACCGGCTTGCGAAACGTTAATTGGTGGGCGGGGGGGGGGGCGTGATGGGGGTGGTGGGCGAGGAGGTGAGCGGCCACCGTTACCCACGCGGCCGCGCCACTCACGCTCCATGACGGGGTTCTCGTAGTGGTGGCGGCGCCGGGGGCTGTCCTCGCACGCGAAGCCCCCGCGTGGGTCCAGCGCCACGTGCTCCGACAGCCGCCGGATCGTCGACGGCGGTGACAACGGCGGCGTCGGCCACCGCTGCTCCTGCTGCTGCTGCTGCGCCGGCAGCAGCGGCGGTGGCGGTGGCGGGGAGGCGGCGGGGGGGAGAGGAGCCGCGGGTGGCCGCGCCGAACCCGCAGGGGGGGGCAGCTCAGGGCTGCGGGCCGAGAGACTCGCGGCGCCGTCGCCGTCCGGGCCGGGCGCCGTGGTGGGGCGCGAGCTCGTGAGCGAGCTGGAGGGACGCGAGCTGGCCGCACAGTTCTGGAAAGCGATTCGGTTTGTTCATTAGAATGTTGGTTTCGATGGCGTCCACCGGCGTGGCAAGTTATGGGTGCCAGGAGGCTGCACATTCGAGAGCAGTGGTTCTTAACCTTCACTGCACACTTGCACTCCTTTGGTTCCCAATCGTAATTGTTTTTATGTTAACAAATACACAGGGGTTTGATGAAACAAAGTAGTTGAACTCACATGCCCGTGCTTAACTCAATGTTAAAAGACCTTGCATCTTGAAATTTAGACTGAGGGCATCGCTAAGGTCACGGAAGTCCTGGAGCTTTTCTCTGAGAATCAGATCAGAATCATTATTTATACCGGAGGAATCCGATGAGCTATGAAGCTCTTTTTCACATATGTCCGGTCGGGGCACGGGGTAAGAACGTCACGTGACCCCGCATTTGAAGTGCAGCAGCTCCTACAACCTCGTCCCCCACCGCCGCCTTGTAGGAAAAATACAGTAGAATGTCTTCGTTAGAACAGTAAACACTTATCGTTGTTATAAGACATTATTATTTTAATTTACGAAATAGTGTTTACCATCTGTATTATTAGCACTATTACGGATGCCCCAATGAAGCCCGAGTATATTGCTCATACGAAATAAATAACGCTGTCGGGAACACATCCCCATATAAGCAATGATATAACGACCCCTTTTAGCGCCGATTCGATTAGCGCTCACTTCACCAGGAGCGCATCTTGAGCGCTAAGCGAGGTGTGCTTGTGTATGTATATGTTTCGCAACAAAATACGATTTATTTCTGCCACTGTATAGCACGCGTTTGTCGTGACTTAAAAGACCCCCATCAGTAGCAGCAGCAGATGATGATAATGATGATAAAAGCCTAGCATTTACAGGCCCCATGTTTCGGCTATGATACGTTAATTAACTCTTAAACTGCGGCTTTTCAAAGTCGACGATTTTCGCAACGTCTTTCAGAGATGACTCACTGGGAGAGGACAAGAAAAATGTAAACGATTCTACGATGACCACCGCATGAGTTCTTTTTAGTTTTGGGTTCCCACCACACATCTGTCTTTTTTTTTTAATTCCTGCACAATTTCTTTTTTGTTTTCTTCTGAAATGCACGCGGTGCCGATAAACATCGCTGTGGCTTTTTATTTTGAAAGGATTTTTGGGTAAAAAAAAATGCTGCGGTCTTTAGTTAGTTACGTTGCGTGTGTATAATATGCAGTGTAATGACTGTTTATAGCAATGTAGTAAAACGTTATGGATGAGAATGTTTTAACGTTATTGTTAGGTTTTTACTTTTCTTGTGGCTGCAAAACCCAAACGATATGGACCAGATCGGAAACCCATAGAGGTACAGGTACAGAGACTCATTGAGATACATAGAGACCCATATAAATAAAGAGAGACAAATAGAGGACCACAGAGACACATAGAGACCTACAGAGACACAAGGAGATACATTTAGACCCAGAGATTAACATAGAGACTCATAGATATGCATAGAAGCTCGAGCTGTGGTTGGCTTGCTGCGCTATGAACCCAGGCGGTCCCGAGTTTGATTTCCAGCCGTGGCTAACGTCAGCAGTGAGTGGTATCTGAACCACCTTTTACCAACCTGCACTGACCAGCGTGGTGAAGTATGGTGAAACACAGCGAGGCCCATTCAGTACACCTCGAACTGCCAGAGCTATGGAGCATTTGAGATTATTATCTAGGGCTCAGTACCAGACGCACACTCAATCATGGTTTCATGTCCAGGAAATGAGAAAAGTTATTCAGGAGTGTATTAAATTGTTATCACTATTATTATTATGTAGAAAGCATTCGGCTAATTGAATGTGCGAGTTAATGTCAGTGATGAGAATGCAGAACTGGAAAGTGTAACACGTGCATCCAAATATGTCCCGTACCCGTGTTCTCCAAAGCGTTTTTTAAAAACTGCTCTTCCATATGCATGTAGGCAGACGCGTCGGCCACCAAGTGAAAATTGTTGACGCATCATTTCCACAGATGCATATCGCCTTAAATGTCTTATCTTGCTGGGTGTAACGTGAGTGCATCGTCGACAAATCAACACGTGCCGGACATAATACATCTAAACGTATTTTGAAAGGGGAAACAAAATGAATTATGCAGATGCAGCGCTCGTATATATATTTTTTTGCCGCGTAAAGATAATCCCAATATTTCGTGGAAACTGCAAACAATCCTCTGAACCCGGAGCCCGCATGCAAATCCTGTTCTTTCCTGCAGTTTGGTGAGTCACGGAAACCAACGCTAGTATCAGCTTCAATAAAAAAAAATTTAGCCATCACTTTAAACGGGAGCCTTTCGCGGCCCGAACTGTTTATAAAACATTTCCCTGCAATAAAATCTGAGGGAAATAAAAAAAGGAACGCTTACGTGGTAGATCGCCAAAGAGTTGCTGCAGCTGTGAATCGCCCTCTTTTCGTCGGCTAATTATTTTTTTTGATCCGAGGTGCGTTTCTCTCTCCCTAACGCGAGACAATGCCGCCTGTTTGTTCCATCGCTGCTCACACGCACACACCACACACGCGCACACACACACACACGCGCACGCACAAACGCGCACACACACGCGCGCGTGGGTCTGTAGACCAAACAACGCGTTGGGTTTTTTTTTGTATTTCCGCCGCTCTGGTCACCCGCTCGCCGGCCGGCCGTGGGAGCCACTTAAACGTGAACACCTTGTTTTTTGTGCCACCTTTGACCTCTGACCCGTGAACTCGCGCCGGACACGCGGCTTGCCCAGGCTGGGATGGAGGGTGCTGTGTCGGAGCGACGTACACCTTTCGGAAGCATTTTCTACGGATGATGTTACAACAAAAAAAGAATGTTCTGGCAATACTCGACGTTTTGTTTATTGCAGCCGCGAGATAATTAATAGCTCTTAAGTAAAAGACTTACAAAAAATGTAATACATTTCTCGTGTTGGCGTTTTTAGTAATATATTGCAATTGTTCTGTGCCGGTGCATTTTGGTTTAAATGTTTTATCCACTTTGAACCATATTTTCGTTTGATGTCTTACTGTTGAATTTGCTCACTCGCTGTGGTTAAACTCTAAATGATTGAAATTTGTATCCGCGTTATATGATGTACATAGTTGTTCCTCTACAGAGTCTAGGGATGCTCCCAGTATTAAGACGCTACGTCAATTTAAATTCTCATTCTCACATACATCACCAATGCGTGTGTCACATGCCTCATTCATGTCATCATTTTTTTACTATCAATTAAAATATTTCTCACGTCATTATTTTCTCTCTCTCTCAAATTAAATGCACACAAACCCAAATGACACTGCGAGTACATTACAGTCAACATTTAGGCAAACGGACCTTTAATCAGCCTGTCCGGAATTTGATTTGTCTCAGTGCGAGACAGCATTTGCAATTCTGTCACATGTTTTCCCCAAACAAAAAAAAAGCACCAACGGCCACAGAGTGCGCGAGAGAGAGAGAGACGGGGTAAGAGGGGAGGGTGGAGAAGGAGGCGGTGTCCATGTCAGTAGTTTTTGCGAACACACTTCGCATATCTTAACATCATTAGGATTACAGCAGCAGCAGCCACCACATAGCCAAACATAAACAGTGCACTGCCAGGCTTTGCGTCTGTTAAGTTACTAGCATCTGGGAGTCAGACCACACTCGGGCGGGTGGGGGAGATCGCATCGGACGACCCTCCGCTCGCTAAACCCGATCCGGCGATCCTTTCTTCCCTCCCGGCCACCCCTTGCTTGGTCTTTGAGCCATTGCCACCGAAAATAGATTATTGGGTACCACCCAGGGAGGCAAATGCTTGCCATGATTTTCTTGAAGCGTGTCATTTCTAGATCACAAATGTCTATGCTAGCAAGGACACCCCAAGGGCAACACAGTATGTTCGATTGAGAACACTATGAAGAAAATACAACAACAAAAAACCCGAATAAATATGGAGGTCTTCTTGGTTCTTTCGGTAAAGTCACTTTACCGAAAGAACCAAGAAGATGAATCCCTGCAGTCACGAAAGCTTTAAATCGAAATTTAAATATGGAGGTGTGAATTTAAAACAGACACTTGGCTTTCTTCCCAAAGTGAACACTTCCCATGGTGAACAATGCTCGCATTCGCCACTCCAGGTGGTTCCGACCAACCCCCCCCCCCCCCACACTCTGCCCCCGTTCCATGGGCTACTGCTCGGCCGCCACCCAGCGCTTACCACAAACACCCGCACCCCCACGACTCCAACCCAGACCTCCACATCGCCTCCTCATCCCTGCCACTCGCCCCCCCCCACCACCACCACCACCACCCCCCGAGCACAGCCCACCACATGCACCCTCCCTGGGGTGCCGCGCAGGCCGCGATGTATAAACTTTCGCTTCCGAGTGAAATTAGCGGCGGCGACAGGTGGCGGAACTCTATTCGTGCGATGAAAAGCGCGTGCGCTCCCGTCGGTGCCCTCTGGGGTATTTAGCCTGTCGACGATGACGACGACGACAGGACCGGGGGGGGGGGGGGGTGGGAGAGCCGCAGCGGTGGGGGCCTGGAGGATGAGCGGTGGCCCGGGAGGGCCGTGGGCAGCCACCGGAGGCCACAGCTCTCGTCGGAGTTTGGCGACGGTGGCGGCCGGGGGGTGGAGGAGAGGAACGACGTCTTGCCGACCGAGGTGCCGGTACAACAAAGCGGCGTCTGGAATGAACTCTTTCGTTGAAAATGAATTCTTTTATTGGGAGTAAGTCACTCAGTAATGCATTCCAGTCGAAGTTTAAATTGGAAATTGATAGGATGGACTGTAAACACCCTGTCCAAAGACGTATTCGACTTGCGAGCGGAATGAATATCGGTACATCCTTAACGGTTCAGCAGAATAAATTGATTTAGATTTCGGCGAAGAGATTTGAATTAGAAAAATGTCACGTGACCGATTCCGTCCATGCTCTGTCTGCTGCTGGATGAAGGCTTCCCCAAGTAAATCCCCCCCCCCCCCCCCATTGCCCCGGCAACATCGCGGTCCATCTCACTCCTGCACGTGAACTGATTTCGTCGCTCCATCTCTCCACACCGACCATCCTCTCCGGTGCACACAACTCACTCTCTCTGTCTCTCCCTGCTGGCTGGGTGCCCCCATTCCATCGGCAGGCTCGTTCGAGCGGCCTCAACTCTCGCAGCGAGCGACGTGTCCTGCCGCCCTCCCCTCCCCACACTTTACTTTGCTCACCGCACGACGTCTCCTGCTTCGGACGCTTTCTCACATCCGCGTCTTTATCTTTTCGCGAAAACGGAACGCCAAGGCTCGAGGAGCGTGCAAAGCAGCGAGTGGGTGACAGAGAGAGAGGGGGGGTGCACAACTTGGCATCGTGCCGGGCAGCAGAACGGGGAACGCACGTGGCCGGTGAGATTGTAGCATCGCACGACTTGTGAGGGATGTTTGACGACTTAGACCTTCATCCAGTTCGTGGATTGATAATGGATGATGGTGATTGATTGATTGATGGTGATTAGGTTGTTTTAGAAATAAGTTAACCGGCGTCTTACTCACCGAGAAGGAGAGAGCTTTGCGTCTTTCCTTCATTCTCTTGATCGTGTTCCGTACCTGTAGCAGTAAAGTCACAAACATGAAGGCATGTAAACCCCGCCACTTCTCCACGTAATTTAAACTATTTTAACAACTTTGCATGGCCCTTTAAAAAATAACCTAACATTTCTCCCAAGTTGAGATATTATATTCATTATGATTTACAGGTTCATCTTCCATATGTTTAGATAATTAACAAACTTTATTGTTCCTAGTAAAAATGTAGATTCATAAAAAATTGCAGTAACTTTTTATGGAGTTGGTAAATGTTACCCTCTCTGTATAAAGACTAGTGTGGAGTGGTGATGCAGTGGTTAGCACACTGCCACATGGATCCAGCAAGCTGAGTTTGATTTCAAGGGATGGGGTTGAGAAATTATATACATTATATCAAATAATTCAATAGGATATAGCATTTGGATGGTTGTTTTTTTTTAAACCATGAAACGTAGGTTAAAGGTCATAGGTTGTATAACCACTCATGATGAATACCATGGGTTTCTGATTCCTTCCGGTTAGAAGGGGACCCTCATTCTCGTCTGCACGATGACTGACTCACCGGTGGGCAAATCAAGTTATAATGTAAAAGTGATACTGCATTGGCAGTGGTGTACAAGCACAAATGACAACAAATCAACACATTTGTCAATAAGACTTCACTGAAAGTGATGTTTCAGACAATTGCCATTGTTCATGCCATCTCTCAATGGCCTGTTTTCCTCGAGTCTCTCTGATATGAAGGGCCATTCCCCGAAACCATCATCCATTACATATTTTTTCGCTTTCAAGGCAGTAAGTCTTCTGATAATCGTAATGTAGACCTGGGCAGTCGATTGCCATGGGTTGCTCGGAGCCTCGTTACTAAACACGCGGCAAGCCCCAGACCGCTCGCGCACTCACCTCTGTGTTGTACACTCCGTAAATGAGGAAGATGAAGAGCCCCTGTGGTGAACAAAACCAAAGAGAACCAACTAAGCAATCTCAAGAGATCCGGTGATAGGGTTCACAAGAGCGGACCCATGTCTGTCAGGGCAAAGGGCTCAAATTCAATAAAGCAGACAAATTAGTAGCACACGACGTATCATTGTTTTCTAATGCCAGGGTTGGATGTTATTTTTGTTGAATGCGGTCAGGTGCTGATACAGTTCAGCTATTGATCTGACCCTGTGAAATTAGGTGCACGAGTCTCACAAATCAAACGTCCCCTGCCGATGCCGGACATTGCGGTGAATGAGATGCGAACATCTCTCCGGTTCTCTCTCTCTCTCTCTTTCTAGGGAATAAATTCTCTTAAAAAATAACCGCTATGGAATTTGGATGTGGAAACAAATTCCCGCTGCGAAGTGTCGCCGTGGGTGGCTGCCGTGGGGATAAAGGCAGTGGGTCGGCACGCTGGACTTGCAATCCGGAGGTCGCCGGTTCGATTCCGTCTCCCGGCGGCGCGGCAGTCAAGGCGACGGCGTCGGTTTCTGAACTCTCCCCACCGTCTCTGTCCGTCGAGCTTCATGAATGGGCTCGCCGCGGCTCTTCAATCGGCAGTGCGCGTGTGGCGGGGTAAAGTGTGGGCACTTTTGAACCTGAGATTGAAAACTCATTTCTCTGGAAATGCTTTTTTGTGTTTAGCTTGTTGTCCTTATCCCCCCCCCCCCCCGCACCTCTGATTAGCGTGGGTGGCTACATACGGTGCAAAAGAAGTTCAACATACGCACATACCTACACATTTTCATTTGGCAAGCGTGAAAGAGGAGGTCAAATACCCCGTAGAGGGAGCTCTTTCTGCCAACAGTGGCGAGAGATAAGAGATTCGTAAACCGCACGCCGACTCCTGCTGTCAACCGAGCGAAGTTACAAATCAGTGTGGCGAACTTTATTTCAACATTATTATTTTTGTATTCAATAAAAAGTTCAATTTGTATCTCTTGTTGTTGTTGTTGAAACAAAACAACGTCGTGCGCTTGAAATGTAAAAATCGCGCGCAGCGGCACAAAAGGTGTTATTTTTCTCTCCATTGAAAAACAAAACATTCAAAATAAACGTCGCAATGTCATTCGTGCACACACTCGCCCGTCGCGTGCAGCTCCTTCGTTGGCTGCCTTATCACGGATATGGGATGCCGCGGGGAAGCGAGAGGAATTCACGGATCTGACCATTAATATTCATCAAGACGCTCGTCTCGGTCATGCCAGCAGCGGTGCATAAAGTTACGTGGGGAAGCTTCAAATGAGATCTTGCCTTGTTTGTCGCGAAGACTGAATGTATGCTGCCTGGTAATTCTGAGTTGTAAAGAAGATTGATGGTGGCGCTTGTGGTGCTTGTAAGTAAATTTAAAGCATTAAACATTTGTGCGTCGGCAATTTAGCAACGCGAGTGAAAGCATATAGGGGTAATCCGTGGGTTAGTATACATTAAGTAATAACATGGAACAATACCAATTCGTTATACAGAAAAGCCCCGCCGAGTCTCAAGTGTGTTTTGCAAGAGGCGTCCTGCACTGGGATGTTTGTCCAAGATTATTGATGACAGTCTGGCTTCATTGTCGGAGGAAACTTCAGAGTAGCCGGAGAAAACCCACTCATAAGAGGAGGGTAACACATTTTTATGTTCTCATTAGATTGAGGGAAAGAAAGAGAACAACATGGGGTGATGAAATCAGCTCGTCTGTAGGTGCTCGGCAAACTGAGATATGGTAGGATCACCAGAAATGGCACGGATTGGAACGGCCTTCATCCAGCAGTGGACTGATCATTACTGAGGATGATGATGATAATGATGATGATGGCTGCGAGGGGACAGGCAAAGTGTGGAAGCAAAGCACTACGTGACCTCAAGCAACAGGGGCCCCAAACACAGAGACGTGAGGGGTCACGGCTCGTGGGTGGGGGTCACGTGGATCTCTGTGTGGCGTGCTTCCTTGCCAGATCACCGTCGCGGCTAATCCGGCTAGCCGCAACCCAAGCGCGGCTCGTCTGTAGCCTGCGATGCCGGATTACTGCCGGATTGCTGTGGGATTCATTGTAAGGCGGCGGGGGGAACGCCGTGGCCTAATTAACCGGCCGCAGTTTGTTTTCACCGCGGTTGATGGGCCCGTCGCGTGCGGTGGGGTTACGGTGGCCGACCGCGCCGGACTTGCGAGTCAGAGGTCGCCGGTTACATTCGAATAATCTAACCCTGCACAGGAGTTGAAAAAACGAGGCAGTTTTTTGTTGTTGTTCTGTTTCTTTCAAATGCCTTCGCTGCTGTCCACCCGGCAGTTTGAACGGGTACGGTGCAATTTGCTCAATCGGCTGGTCACGTGTAGTGGGGTAAAGTGTGGGTACTCGGGACCTCTTTCGAAGGCATATTGCCAACGTGGAAGAGTAGACTAAAATGCCCACTTAGAGGGGCTCTGTGGAGTTGTGCGAGTGAGCGATCGTTGCTGTTAGGCTCGCCATTTGTGTTTCTGTTCCAGTGAAGTTATCATTAATTACGTTTCACAGACGTTTCAACTGCACTTTATTTTGTGTGACGCAGCCCTTCACACCTATTGAGGGCAAAACAAAAAATGTTACAATTTGTTGGGAAGCCCAAATTGGTTGTTCTATAGACTCAGCCCCACCATAAACTCGGTGGCCACTCCACCGCCACTCCTGTGAAGGTTCTGCAAAATCCGGCGAAATGTTGGGATTGTGGTCTGGGGGGTACGGAGACCGAACGGATTTATTTATTCTAATTTGTTTTCTCTAAAATACAAATTTTTCTTGTAGTGTGTATTTTATGTATCCATTTTCTTAATTTGCAATGTAGTGGGGGTTTGTATCACCTGTGTATGGAACCAGATAATTCGTGTGCAGCGTTTTGGGATGCAATTGCATGAATGACCCTATATAAAATGAAATTATTACTATAGCAATGTGGAATATCCACCAGGGCTGTAAACAAGAGATGAGAACATATGCTTGATTTTTGTTTAAGCAGCAGGTAAGCCACTTAGATTTTTTTTATCTGTATGTTAAAAACACTTCCCTATTTAACGGCAGTTTCTCCCCGACACAGGGCAATAGCGTCAACAGCATCTCGGAACGCTGTTGACGCTACAACCGACGTAATTTACCTGCAGCGTGGCCAGGTAGCGATGAGCAACACCCCCCATTGCTTTCGAGGCAGGCGCCTGCAGCGCCGTCAAATCTCGCAATGACCGCCGAGGTGGCAAGACGTTAACTACCTCCCCTGGTATACAGGAGGTCGTGGGTTCGATCTCGACCCTGACGCCTGCTGTATATTTGGAGTTTGCGTGTCCTCTCTCTCCCCGTGGTCGCGTCCCTCCGGTTTTTCCGTCCACATTTAGAATCGACGTGCTGTTAGGGTATGTGGCTGCTATACATTTGCACAAGATGGAACGCCACTCCGTTGCGCTGTCATTCGTGGCCAGGTCACCTCTGAGCTACGCAGCTCTTGTTCAGACCACGGGGAGAGACAGCGCGCAAACTCCAAATATACATCAGGTGTCAGGGTCGGGATGGAACCCATGACCTCGTGCTTACCAGGCGAGGGAGTTAACATCCCGAGAGAGAGGGGGGGGGGGGCGGCGAGCGAGCGCGAGTGAGCGCGCGAGCACTCTACCTGAAGCGAGTTGAGAGCGATGAACAGGTAGGCGAGCGCGGGCGCCAGGTGCACGAGCACTCCGCAGAGCCACGTGAGTCCCAGGATGGGCAGCAGGACGATCACCGCCTTGATGGCCGCCCTGCGCGCACGTGACAGCGGGCACAACGGAGCCCTCGTCGTCCGTCACGTGACAGGGCTCAATGCTAAGGTGTGTGCGCCTTATAGCAGCACGTGGCCTGGCACACGTTTTGGAAAATCCCTGTTCTGTACTCGGCAATGCACAGGTTCACTACCCCTTGTTGAAAATAAATGCACTATTTGTGGCTGATAGCGTGAAATCAGTTTCCTTAATGTGTTATCTAAAGCGCCGTGAAATAATGATTAAAAAATATAGTATTTAGTTTGAACTGCCAATAAATGAAGATGTGGGATGGAAGCAATAATGCGGTGGTTAGCCCACTGCGCTATGAACCCAGCAACACGCGTTCAATTATCTGCCACGGCTAACAACATCTGTGGTGAGAGATATCTGTGGTGAGCGATATCTGTGGTGAGTAATATCTGTGGTGAGTAATATCTGAACTGGTCCTGGGCCCACCTCCAGTCTCACCGCTCACCCCACTCCCCAACACAGTATGTGCCCGGCCTACATCCAGCAGTGGATTGACAAAGGCAATACATTATAACCGCATTCTCTGGATTACAGGAACCACTTTCCCCTCCCTGCATTTCAAAGCGTCAGTTTTAAATCGTGAGTTAAAGTTTGAGAGGTAAGTGATGTGTGTGAGAGTCTGCATTTGGTGTCACAAGTTTAAAGTGCGGCTTACTTTCCAAAGCCTCTTATGATCCAGAAAATGCTGCACTTAGTTGTATCCAAACACACAAGCTGTACGCTGTTGTTTTATTCAGTGCATGCTGTTTCGTGATCATTTCTGCCCATGTGAAGATTGGGTTACCCTGCTATTCTGAGATGGTGTTTCACTGCCATCCTGTGGTGAGAATGCTCATAGACACTCTCTCTGACCCTTGACTGCCAATGCTAATACTGTACGCTCGCACAATTTGAACACTTGGATATATTGTCACTTTTATAGGTGGCGGGTTAGAGTATATGGTGGCCATTATAGCAGCGATAGTGGAAGTGATGCCTGCGAAAAAAGCGCTGGTGTTGGTATTATTGCGGTGATTGTGGCGGCGTTATGGTTGGTGGTAATGTTATTGTGGTGGTGGTGTTAATGTTGGTGGTGTTCATGATAGTGGTGGGGATTGGGTGATAACACTGGGAAGCAGTGACCGTCGGGGTGCTGCTCATGTTTGTGGTAAATTGATTTTTAAAGTACGAGAGCGGTTGAGAAACAATGGCGACTCTTGTAAAATCACCTAGCAGGGTTCCAGAGGGTTACGGAACACGGATTGCCTCTCATGTTCAAAAATATATTTGCACACGGGGACGGCTGCCCTCCCTGCCCTCTGTCCCCTGCCCAATTTTCCCCATGCTCCTACCCTGCCACTGACTTTAACTGCCCCCCCCTCCTCCCCCGGCTTCTCTCTCGTTCCCCAGTGTCTCTCCTCGTGCTCCCCTCCTGCTGCCCAGTGCTGCCCCCTCCCGCTGACCTGAGCTGTCTCATTGCGAGCGGTGTCATCCATAGGCCACGAGCCAAGGCGGATTGGTCGGTGCCACCCAAGGGGTGGAAAATGCTGCGAGTCTCCACCACCACGGGCAGAAATCTTAGCATATATCCTCTCTGTTTTATAGACACACTTCCTCTTCATTTTCATATTCTGTACACGTTTCATATCACATTAGTGTGTGCTTTTTTAAATGGATATATTTTTTTTACATTCTCTTTCAAACGCACCCCGATACCATTTTTATTACGTTTCATTTTCTCACAAAAAGCTACCACCGTGACCTTGCTAAAGTATATATTTGTGATCAAGAGACAAAATTCGTAGAGATAATGACAGAGAGCATTTGCTACCCTAGGTGGTACTGATGAGTCGTTTTAGGGGCCAATGGCACACAAGAGACCACTGTGCACTGTACTTGGGGCGGTGGCCAGCCATCAGATCGAGGAGAAGAAAATTGCCTCTAGACCTATGGAATAAATTATTTAAAATCCAAGAGACATCATCGGGATTGCAAACGTTGAATTGCTTAAGCGACATCACAAGAAATCAGTTTCCCATGCCGTATATTTTGTTATATGGTTATATCAGCAGAACATAAAATGTCGCATTTAAATAAATGCTCCGCGTCCTAAGGGGCATGTATCTCAATAGACTTTGACCTGATCTAAATAAAGGACATCGAAATTAACCCATTCGTGCATTAATTGTCAAAAGCAAAACCAACTACGGTATAGATTTGGTTAAATGTGATTTTTAGACGTCAGAGGAAATTATGCAAATGTGTTTTCAAATGTTTTACGTGACTCAAGCGCGGTCAAATAAATCATAGCAGTCCACCACAGTCGACTCGATGCACGAGAGGAGTACACACAGGCAATGTCGTCTGTAAAGAGGGTGGTGTACTTACATTTTTTAGAAAAAATCTGCTTTCTATATTTTTAAAGAAAGCATAAAAAAATCAAGGCAGTATAACAAAAAATATACATCCAATTGTAAGGATAAAAAAACAAACTGTCGCAATTCGCCAGCAGAAAATATTTCTTATAAAAACAACCCCCCGCTCATTTATGAACTGTAAAATTTTAACAAACATAAAAAAAACCTACACAGAAAGCCCTCTAAATCTGGAGGTAACATTCCCCCCCGCCCCCACAAACCCTCTAATCTCGAAAGCCTGTCCGTAGTCGTGGAAGCTGTCAGCCAATGACACAAGAACCCTTTAATGTACTCGTCGGTCGGTCTTCGTGGCCCTGGCCGTGCCCACACATGGCGAGGCTTCACCTTATTTGATCGTAGGCCTGCTCGCTGGGACCACTGCTCACGGCCAACATGATGGAGCGCCGCTTGGCCGTTGCCATGGTGATAGCCAGCACCCGACCCAGCACGAGCACGTTGACCTGCGGCGAGAGGACACGGGTAGCAGTTGTGGCAGTAGCGGAGCTAGCGTCCCGATCGGGCTCTCGGCATCGTGTCATAAATCATGCAGAATGAATTGCAAGTCGCTCACGAAGCCGCGCAACCCTTCGCCTCCAAGGAACGGCCCACGGAAGTAGATTTCACAGAGCTATCTGCGAGACCTCTGGCCAACGCAGAAGATGTGACAGCACTTTTGAACGTGCCCTTCCACAGTTTTTCCTCACATGGCAATCTAACTGATATTTTAATTCGCAGAACTGGAATCTCACCAAATCAAGCGCAGGACCAAATTTAAAGCGATGGCTTTCGTGTGCAATCATTGGTGACCGGGGCTGAGAACATAAACTTTCTCCACGCAAGAACCCAGTTGAATCATGGGTATCTGCACCATTTTTTGCACCTAGGATCTTAGCGGAACTGCACGAAAAGGAAATGTTAAAGTTTTTTTTGCACTACTCTGTTCTTGTGTATGATGGCAATCTATTCAGGAGCTAAATGCCAATGTAGAGCTTCAGGAGATAATTCGTATAATTGTGCTGTTCTTCAGTTGAAGGAGCGTAGCCTACGGTGGCTTACGATAGGGTCCAAAGTTTGGGTTGCATTGCTACGATTGCACCGTGGTTTGTCTTTAATTTTACATTCATGAAGGAGATGTGCGCACCGGCCTGTTGACGTTCTAATGCGGTTGATGGTTACACCACCGGTGCCTTCGAGGAGGAATGTCAAAGCCAGGGGGTGCGGCGTTTGGGTCCTCGAATTTATTTGCCAAACCACGGCAGTGAGACTTCACGCGGGAGCAGAATCAGCATCAGAGTTTGTACTGGAGGAATCCGATGAGCTGTAAAGCTCTTTTTCACAGATGTCCAGTAGGGGCGGGTCAAAAGTTTACAACAAACAAAACAAGAACACAATACGAGTGCAAAGTGGAGGAAAGATAAGAAAATCACAACAACAAAAACTATTTTTTTCATTTCACCAGGTAAAGCCCACTGAGCTATAGCTTATATTTCAGCAGTGACTTGGCCACAAATGATAGCTCCACGAAGTAGCTTATCACGCGGACATTTAAAGTAGCCAAATAATAATAAAAAAATCTAAACGCGCTTTTAGTCATCGGGTCTAACCACGGGGGCAACCGAAACCTGGATTCGAACCCAGCTTCTCTCAGCGGTCCCAAGCTCCTAGCGACGTGGCCCAGGCGAGGCGCACCCCCCTCCCTCCCATCCCCAACCAATGCCACCTCGGGCTCACCGCAATGATGAAGAGCACGGGCCCTACGAAGGCCCAGATGACCCCGCTGTGCACGTTGAGCCAGCAATGACGCGCGGCCGTGTAGTCCTCGTGCGCGGCCGCCAACGTGATTGCCACAATCAGCACCGGGATTCCTGAAGCGGTGAGGCCGGGAGGGTGGGGGAGGGGGGTGGCGCAAGCAGAATCAGAATCGGAATCTTCCTTTGTACTGCTGGAGGAGGAAATGCGATGAGCCATGAAGCTCTTTTTTCACAGACGTCCAAGTAAGTGAAGGGGAGGGTCAAAACGTTATAACAACAAACGATGCCAAAAACGCGATAGGAGCGCAACGTATTTTAAAGGTAAGCAAATCACTCGAAACAACTTTAACAAAAAATCTTACCAGGTAAATCCCACTGCGCTCTAAGCTTCTTTTTCAGAAGCATTATTGAACTAGTCATCATTGTTCATTTTTTGGAACGGTGTCTGTTCACCTATAGGGATGTGAAAGCTGGTAAATTATATATACTGTACCCTACCTACAAAGTAAACTCGAAGCAACATAAATTATTTTTTATGAAGGTTGTTAACAATCTTCTTGGTTCTTTCGGTGAAGTCACGTAGAAGGGAAATAATAAAATAATAATAATCAAACATAATAAAATACATTATGTTTTATTTCCCACCTGATGACGGACGCTTGTGTTGCGCCCGAAACGTCGTGATTTATTTTTTATTTTATTTTATGCCTACGTGACTTTACCGAAAGAACCAAAGACAATAAAATAATCATACTTAGAGAAAGGCAAGTTAGATCTATTGGACATGTAATGTCAAAACAAGCGACTGAATATGAATGTGCTTTGAGGAGGAAAATGCGAGGTACAAAAAACCGGGAGAAGACAGCTAATTAAGTAAATAAGCCATTTGAACAATTGCATGCAATGGGGAGTATCTCATGCAAAGTTCTTGGGTAACATCACGGACGGAGATCAATGGAAGGCAATGCTCGCAGACGTATTTGAGAAAGGACGATGGCTCGTAAGATACTTTATTTAATCCGTAGTCTTAAGCCGGGCTTCCGTACCGGAGTTGAGATCGGTTGAGCGACCGAATTGCTCTCGAAATGGCACGATTGGATCACGTGCTTATTGCATATCACAGATTCAGAGAGTCGCTTCGCAGTGATTTTCCTATTTAAATGAGCCCTGAGGTTGGTGCTCACCACCCGTTTACAGCCGTGAGACGTTGGCGGAAATTCCGCGTTCCTATGGCGGGGACGGGTCTCTCCGTAGGCTCCGTCGACGAATTTTTTTGAAAGCAAAACGCTTTTTATCGCGTTCATTTTTTTTCTCTCTCTCTCGATAATTTCGGGGTAAACAAAAGTTGTGGCGCAGGGTTGGGGGGCTGGATAGAAGCGGAGTCAACGCAGATCTTGCGTAAAACTCAGCGACTAATTTTCGTGTTTGGCAAAATGAACGAAACGTGACACTTTTATGCAGATTTAGCCCGTTTAGCTGTTGAAAATTGATGGGAAAGTGTTTCCTGCCGATGTGTGAATTAGGTCTTGAGCCCTTTCCGCATGAAAGGAAATGCACGTTTGTTGACACTGTTTGGAGTACATTACCAATAAACGGCTAGTTAAAAACAATTTGCCGTTCAAAATGTCACATCAAACGTATCGTAAGTTTAAAAGGGGGCAGTTCATTTTTCGGGAAAGTTTTGGATTACATTTTTTGTTCTTAACTTCTAAACCAGGACAGAAAATTAGCTGGCATCACGTAAACCAATTTTTTTTTTAAAATCGCATTTATTTTAGATAAACAACTTTAATAGGATGGCCATAACTGTTCGGCTCCAGACAGTTTATTTTCTGCTACATGAAAAAGGGTCTATATCCAGTGAACCTCATGACCAGTATATAGCAGGGTCACCAGGGGTTGTTATGAACAGAGACCACAATAACCCCACTATGCATCACTTTTGAAAGCTCACAGCACGTTGAGAACAAAATAATGATACCGTTAGCTCACGAGCCCTCACTGACGATCCCGTTACATATCGTACAAAGGATGGAAAATGTACGGCGACGTGAATTTTGCGGGCGGTAGTGTGTGCACGTGTGCTACTTTTATTTTTAAAAAAATTCATAACGAAAATTTTCAATCGGCGTGTTTCGCATACTTCAGGCTGCTGCGTTGCTATGTGCCATTCCTGAAGGTTTTGAGCATTCATCATCGGGCCCTGGGCGATGCGTACTTCCAAGTGCCACCCTGACTATCACTCCGGAGACGTTGCGTGTGAAAGGGAGGACGGACAACCAACCGAGATGTTCCCTGCGCCCGGCAATCAATCAAGCAGGGAGAGAGGAGTCCTAACGCGAATGGCCAAATTTGTCCGACAACTTGAGTATATATATTTTAAAAAAACTATCAAGAATCAGTGGTGTAGCCCATGCTCTGGAAGTTATCAGAATCTTAAATTAGACTGGAGGAATCAGATGAGATATGACGCTCTTTTTCACAGATGTTCAGTAAGGCAGATGCTGCTAGTGACTGGTTCCTGGTGGTAAGTGGATAGATTACAGACGGCAGCTGCGACGTTGACCCCCCAATTCATCACGGATAAGAGCAGTCCCCAGTGCACTACGATTGCTGGAATACTAAAGTTTCAAGTTTCATTTATTAGGTATAGCCCTGTGAGGCATTCGGCTCTTGAATCGGGTGCAACCGCAACAACAACAAAAAACATGAACAAAAAACATCTTAAAGTGAATATGTGATTGAGTGCAAACAGAAAATCCAAGAAAAGACAGCTAAATATTGCAGAAAAAGCACCGTACACCAACACTGTAGCGAGTCTGCAGTCCGTGCACCACCGGATGTATCTTACCAGGGTCCGTCAGCAGCCACAATCAACATTTGAGTCACCTCGTTGAATGGAGGAAAACATACATTGAAACCTGCACAAAATATTAGCCATATCTAAAAAAAATTCTGGCCGATCCCTAGCCATATAAAAAAAACTATTAAACTATTTTTTTTATTTTACCACGGTGCTATATAGTTTGTTCTCAGAAGCCACCTGACCGCAAGTGAAAGTTTAATGCACTTGTGTATCATGCGGAAATGTATAGCAGCCAAATACTTTATACGGATGTTTCCAAGTGTGAAAGGAACTGGAGAAAAATCCACGCGACCACGGAGAGAACGCGCCAGCTCCAAATACGCAGCAGGCGTCAGGGTTGGGATCGAACCCACGACCTCCTGTGTGCCAAGCGAGGTAGTTAACATCTCGCCACCGTGGCATACACCGTAAAGTATGTATATAAGACTACGTGGGTGTCTCTGAAGCTACAGCATCGGGCAGCAAAGTTCAGCGGCTGCGCTCTGCGCGAGGAATCAACAACAGCCGACGTCACGGCGAGAGGGACTGGGGGCGAAGGGAAGGTGGGGGGTGGATTTTCCAAAACAAGGAGGAAAATAACGAAAGTCTCCACCGGTGCAAAAAAAGGAGGGAGCGAAACCTTCCCTGACCGTCCGCTACGAACACGTGCACGCTCTGACACCGGCACGCGTGTGCCACGCGTGAGATCCAGCACGAGGTGGGGGGGGGGGGTGCCGGTTAATCCCCAATGACGCGTGGTGTGAGGAAAGGAGAGAAGAGGTCGTTGGGATTTGTGGTTCTCCTTGGGGTGGTGTGTTTGTTGTTGTTGTTGTTGACAGCTGCACGTAACTAATAAGCTCCGCCAGCAGGGGGAAGGCGTTGGAAAGAATCACGGCGGAGCGGGGATGGCTTAACGACGACTGCAACAACACTGGGGGTTGGAGATTTGTGTTTTTGTTGGATCAAACGTCCATGTAAATGAGTGAATTATACAAAAAGCCTCAATTGTATTACTCTGGGTCGGAGCGATGATGCGGTGACCGGTACCGCCGTCGTGGTACGAACCACGGTGACCCCGAGATTCGAAACCCGACGGCTCACGTCCGTGGAGCGACAAACACACCGGGCGAATATCATGGAAAGGATAATGGAGTGTGTGAGTACCTCGTCTTGAACGGTGTGTCATCACGCGGCTGACAATAACTGGGATTTGTGTTTTTAATGTCCCGGGAAAACTGACAGATAGCCCAGGAAAGCGGCTACCTGGAAAAGCAGAGGATTCTGGGAGAAACCAGTACAGGTGGCGACCCTCAGGTATCACGTGTGTCGAACTTCTTTCGCACCGCACGTAGCCAACCGTGCTAATGGGGCATGATACACAAAGCGTTCCTGGGTGGGGGTGGTGCCCCCCCCCCGCCCCCCGCCCCCCGCCCCCCCACCTTTCACCAAACCGGCATCAACGAGTGCGGTGAAGTATGGTCAAACAATCCGCTTGCGTGTCTGTCTTTGTGTCTTTGTGTCTCCGTGTCTGTGTCTTGTCTCTCTCTCAAAAATGTCACACTTAACTTCTAATTGAGCAAGCTTTGGAAGGACGTAATCAACCAGGCTATGCGTTAATTGTGCGTTGATCGACTCTCTGTGTTGCATTGCATTGCATTTCAAATTTTTTTCTAAGTTTGTTTGATTACGTGTGGTTTCTCTCTCTCTCTCTCTGTGTCCTCGTGTTGTAGTATTTCCTGCAGTCAAGAAAGCTCCAAATCTCTAATTGACATGCTAATTTCTCTACCCCCGCCTCTCTCTCTGCTCCCCTCTTTCTCTATTTAAGGCCTCGACACAGAGGCGTTGTTTCTCTGTGTGCCTGTGTGTCTCTCTCTGTGTGTCTCTGTGTTATCTCTCTCTGCTCATGTGTCTGTCCATATGTCTCCGTGTCTGTGTTTTGTCTCTCTCTCAAATTTAGCAATCTTTGGAAGAACGAATTCAACCAGGTAGGGTGTTGACTGTTATGTTAGCCGACTCTCTGTGTTGTATCGCATTATATTTCTAAGTTTACTAGGTTTGTTTTCTCTTTTATTTGTACCTGATGACGATTGCTTGTGTTGCAATCGAAACGTCGCATGCTATTATTTTACTTATTTTTTCTTTCTACGTGACTTTACCGAAAGAACCAAAGAGTAATCCGCCAGTAGTCGACGCGGCAGTGGATCCACGTGCTTCTCTCGATCGACTCGTCACAACCCCCTTCTTCCCCTCCTGCCTCACATTCGGCCCGCATCCCGTACACCACCGAGCAAAACACAACTCGGTAGCGGGCGGTTCTATTTTTTTTTTCTCGCTGTTTAATTTTATTTGGGAGTCTATGAAGGGAGTCTACAGTTGGTGGATCATTGACCTTCCGCAATCACCTCATCTATATGCAGAGCACTTGACCTGCGCCGCGTGCGACGAGGGGAGGGCGTGAGTGCGCCGCTAAGATTGGGGTTATCCGAAAGGGGCTCGGGGTTTTGACACTTAATGTCCCCCCACCACCACCAGCCCCACCACTACCCCCCCACTCCCGTGACGTTCAATCGCGGCGCTTTTCCGAGTCAATCCCCTCCGTACTCTTGTCGGGACAGACGGAATGCGCTGGGGCGTGTTTCCAATTACTCTGCCCGTGAGTGTGGAGTGTGTGTTTTAATAGCGCGCACACACACACACAAAATCAATATATGCTGAGAATGAAAAACATGATCGCGTGCGTTCCAGCTGACGGGCTTTCAGGAGAGCTTCAGAATGTACCGGTATAGGCTGTCTCGATGTCTTTTGCACTCTTCATGGTTTCCTTTTAAAACATTTGCGGATTATATATTTTTATTCTTGTGACGTATGATTGATTTTTTGTTTTATCAAAGAACCCGCTGGAATGTTTTTAACAAGAACTGCACACACCGATTCTGCTAACATTATTAAGCCATCATTGGAACCTCCTTTGCCAGTTGAAAAATATGATAATTGGTTTTTTACCCTTTTATCTGGCAACAAAACTGACACCTTTTTATTTTTTGTGAGACTAGGCTCTAAGTAAAGCTGTCTCGGGTGTGAACCAATCAATTTCAAGGACAGTGCATACTTTATCAGAGTTGTGTTTTTTGTTTGCATTCCGACCGCAGGTATTGTGGTCAATGCAAACATGACTCCTTGTAAAAAAGGTGTCAGTTTTGTTGCCAGATAAAAGGGTAAAAAACCAATTATCATTATTAAACCAGTCACCGATATCACTTGCACCTGATGTGAGTTGTGGCCATGAATTGAACTCAAGCTCCCACGTTCATAGCACACTGTGCGCTCGCCATCGCAAATTAAATTGTCACGTGGTCTATTATAGTTTCCGCTCACTCAGCCGTTAAGTTAAAGAAGGATTTTCGCAACCAAGTGTAGCAATAAGATACGACGTTTAGCTTTAAACTGTGCCAAGATCCAAGCGGTCAGAATAAAAAAAAAGTTCATCAGAATTCTGAACTCACCGAGTGCCGCGGTAGCGAGACGTTAACTCCCTTGCTTGGTACTCAGGAGGTGGTGGGTTCGATCCCCATCCCGACCCTGACACCTGTACATTTAAAGTTTGAGTGTTCTCTCTCCCCCGTGGTCGCGTGGATTTTTATCCGCGTCCGCCGGTTCTCCCCGCCACATTTATCATCGATGTGCGTTGAAGAGCATTAGGTTGCTGTAACTTTCCACACGATAAGCCACGTCGGTGAGCTATCAATTGTGGCCAGGTCGCTTCTATAAAGGAGCTATACAGCTCAGTGGGCCTTACCTAGTCAAAAAAAATGTTTATAGTTTTTAAGAGTTAAAGAAATAACGAGGCGACGTTTGTCGATTCCGTCGACTGATGCGGTGGGTGGGTTTGGGGTCGTGGTCGTTTTTGGCCCAGGCTCACCCCAGCCGATGAGGTAGTAGTGCTTCATGCGGCTCTCCTCACTCAGGTTCACCGTGACCACTTTGCTCCACAGGAGGAGCCCCTCCACCAGCATCCACATGAACGCGGCCATGAAGAAGAGATGGAGCAGAGCCGTCACAGCCGTGCACGCCACCTACAGCCAGAAGGGAAGGCAGCGGCACGCGCAGAGGCACAGGTCACCCGTGTAGCCGCGGTGGCGAGATGTTAACTACCTCGCCCGGTATACAGGAGGTCGTGAGTTCGATCCCGACCCTGACACCTGCTGTATATTTAGAGTTTGCATGTGGCTAGGAGATGTTAACTACCTCGCCCGGTATGCAGGAGGGCGTGAGTTTGATCCCGACCCTGACGCCTGCTGTATATTTAGAGTTTGCATTTGGCTAGGAGATGTTAACTACCTCGGCCGGTATGCAGGAGGTCGTGAGTTCGATCCCGACCATGACGCCATCTGTATATTTGGAGTTTGCGTGTTCTTCCCGTGGTCGCATGGATTTTTCTCCACCTCCGGTTTTTCTCTCCACGTTTAGAAACGTGCATTTAGAGTATTTTACTGCTATAAATGTCCACGTGATAAAGCCACTACGTTGAGTTATCATTTGTGGCCGGGTTCGTAGTGCAGTACACTAACCACTGCATCACCGCTCCCCGTACTTACACGCTCACGTGCACAAATCTCGTGAAAGCATTTTTACCACTCAGATTGGGGGTGGGTATTAGTGGAAGAATTCTTATTTCTGTTTTACAGCTCAGGCAGTGGCTAAAAAAAAAATCGATATTTCTGTGATTGGAGGTGAGTCAATTCACAAGACAAACTGTACTTTTGGACTTCTTACAAAGTGGTTCCTAGTTTATCTACCCCCGGAGAGATTAAAGGCTGAGTCGCATTCCTACCGGGACTTGAACTTGCATGTTTATGATTGTAAGATGCGCGCTGTAACCACTCTCATTATCTCCATCGTTAACCATCATTATCAGCCTTGGTCGATCTACTGCTGGATGAAGGCCTCCGCAAGCCGCTGCCTCTGCCTCTCACGATCCATTCGATGCAACAACGATCCGCCCAGCAGATGCTCAACATCGCCTGTGATTTCAAACAAACATTCTCGGCGAGAATGTTTGTTCATTGCCAGTGGTTGAATGCAAAGCGTGCGAGACGCAAGTGCGTGACTGAAAGTCACCTTGCAGTTTATTTACCCTGAGCCACGACCAATAATTCACGATGTAACACAATTTTTGTTCCTGGGTAGGAAGTGTTATTTCGTAATTGCTCATGCTTAAAATGTATAGAGAATGGCTATTATTCCCCACAAACTTTGCTTTTGTGAACAGGACAGTGATATTTTGAAATGTACCTATTTTCGATGAGAAAACGGGCGAATTTGTGTATTTTCGTTCGCATAAAGGCAGAAAAAAAACTTACATGTATTTATACAAAAGTAATACAACAATTCCTACAAAAGATTTAGAAGTGAGTAGTTTTTGGAGATGTACGATTATACTGTAAATCACTTTCACGAATTAGGAAATAACACTTACTACCCAGGAAAAAAAATGTTAAAATTTTTGTTACACAGTGAATCGCAAGTAGAGTGTGGATAGGTGACTCAGGCATGAGCGCACAATGCTATGAACCCCAGCCAACGCGAGTTCGAATCCTCTGTCACAGCGAACATCAGCCAATGGTGATGAGTGATTTTTGAACCAGTTCTGTACCATAGAGGATTAGTTAACAAGTCAATTTCTCTCACCTGGAACCCCCCCAGCCCCCAGCCCCCTGTCTGGATTCAAGCAGAGAGCCACCGTACTACAATTAATAATAATAAAACATTAAGGCTCCCAGCATAACACGTCCCGGGGACTTTTCAAGCTGCACATTTGTCCTTGTTATCCCGCGTGGGTAAGCCCGCTGTGATTGCACCGTCTCGCCCCTGCAACAACGTTTGCCCGATGCTCTTTAAATGTCGCAGGTAACTGGTGACCTTCGGGAAGGTCGCATTTCCCCACAGCTGCTGCCCGTCCGTCCCCCGTGACGAGACGGAAGGAAGCCCTGAGCCGGGCGGGGAGGGCAGGACTACTCGCTGTGGGAAATACCACCATTTGACAATTGAGGGGGGTGACTGACTTGATAACTGGGCGGTGGGGGGTGTGACGATGCAGATGTTAAGTCGACGAAATGCAGCGTCTACTGTGTGTGGGACGCTGTAGCCGAGGGTGATAGTACGCACGAATGGATTAACACACAAATGTGACCCAGGTCCAAATTTCCTGCCTGCAGCCCCCACCCCCCCCCCCCACTCAATCGCATCAACTGCAGCATCCTGCCACTGCGTGAGCTGTCTGTCCTGAACGAGGAAGGTAAGAATCTACATGGGTTTTAATCGTAAAGAAGAAGGTCCTTATTCTTGATTCTTTCGGTAAAGTCACGTAGAAGGGAAATAATCTATCTCGTCTGCCCGATTTATATATGTTTTATTATTATTTCCCTTCTACGTGACTTTACCGAAAGAACCAAGAATAGGAATCCCTGCAGTCACGAAAGCTTTAAATCAAAAGAAGGTGCTTGTTAATAATGCATACTTTTTATGCCTCAAGCCTATGACCAGATCACCCTAAATTTGCCCGATTTATATTGGATCTCCAGGTGCTCAGCAGAGCTGAGCCCGGTTCGTAATTGTATGGGTGACCACCACCACCACTACGAGGGCATGCCAGGCGTTGTGGTCGTGGGGCTGCGAGCTGTGAGCTACGGAGACGCAAGCCCCGAGTGTCTCCCCCTCGTGTAGGGCAGCGCGCCCATTCTCTGGGGGGGGGGTTCTCCGGTGGGGTCATCTGGGGGGTTCTCTCCTCCAAACTCCCGTCGCCAATGGGACTGGTGGACGAACATCCCAGACGGAGGCCAGGACCCATCCTAAAAAAAACCTAGTCTTGAGACTCGGGCTATGAGGGCTTTAGAGTGAGGCTGGGAAATCAATGTCCATCTATTCCCCTTTCGCCCGCAGGGGATCTTTAGTGGGGTAGGCTCCAGCGAATTTCTCGCCCCCCTCCCCTCCCCCCAGCTGCATAGCCGTGACCCTGTTTAAAGGCGGGGGTTGGTGGGGGGGGCACGGCAAGGCACAGTCAATGTTAAACAAACAGTTAAACTAATTTGAAAGCTAAACAGAATGAGTAACGATACGATCTGCCTTTGTCTACCGTGCATTGGTCTCTAGCTCTCTCACCCCCCCCCCCCCCCCATGTGTGTGTGTGCGTGTGTCTATGTGAGCAAAGGGCTAAAGCAAAATAAAACGCCGCTGGTGCTCGTAGATTTCGCAGCAACATTTTTTTATTGACTTTGAGAATTTGGAACGGGGGTGGTTGGAGGGGGGTAGGGGGGGGGGGGCTCTGCCATCTCTTAACCCCCCCCTCCCACGCTAACGGGACTGCCGTTGTACAACCAACCGGTCTTCTAGGTGGAGGTGGTGGTGGTGCAGGTGAATTCATTCTACAGCGCCCTTTGTGAATCCACTGTTGGATGAAACCCCCCCCCACACACACCATGTTGGCCGTGGAGGATGTTTGACCATACTTCACCACGCTGGTCAGTGTGACTTCGTGAGATTGGGGGAGAGGAAGGGGGCGAGGGGGGAAGGGGGTGTAATCAGGGCTGGTTCAGATATCATTCGCTACTTTATTTTCGGGGTTGGATGTAATTGGCGTGAGCCTGCACACGTGTGTGTGTGGAGCGGTTAGCGCGCTGCGTTACGAACCCCACTACCCGAGTTCGATTTATGCTCACGGCCAACATCAGTAACGATTATCTGAACCAGTCCTGGGTCTCCCCTAGGTCGACTCAACCTCAAATGAGTAGTTGGTGCGGTGTGTAAAAACTTCACCACTTGGGAGACAAAAGTGTCCAGGCACGGCGTTGGCCAACCACCCCCTCGTTTTGCCGTTCTGGCCTTCATAATTGCTCACTGACAGCACTTGCCCCAACAACCTGTTAAGGCTATACGGGGGATCTTTGTCTTTGTGCGTTTTGTCCAGCGCCTTCTCATCTCAAGGTGAAAGGCGCTTTAGAAGTGTACATCATTATCATTTTATTTGGGTCTTTCGGTAAAGTCACGTGGCTTTACCGAAAGCCCCAAACGAATATGAATTCCTGCAGTCACAAAAGCTTTGAGTCAAGATCATTATTATAATTATTACTGATGGCAGCCTTGGCCAGGAATTGAACTCTCGCCACTCGGCTCGAAGCACGGAGGGGACGTGTACCCTCACGATTGGAACCTCTTCATCTTCTTTGTTCTTTCGGTAAAGTCACGTAGAAGGGAAGTAATAAAATAATACAAATAAAACATAATAAAATAAAATAATTATTTTATTATTTTATTTTATTATATTATGTTGTATTATTTTCATTATTTTATTACTTCCCTTCTACGTGACTTTACCGAAAGAACCAAGAAGATGAATCCCTGCAGTCACGAAAGCTTTAAATCGAAACATTGGAACCTCCTTTGCCAGTAGCAAATTATGATAATTGTTTTTTTAACCCTTTTATCTGGCAACAAAGGGGGTGTAATCAGGGCCGCAGATATTGTGGTCAATGCAAACATGCCTCCTTGTAAAAAAAAAAGGTGTCAGTTTTGAGACCTACCCTGTTCGTGGTGGTGGAGCCACTGCACAGCAGCACGATCTGAGCTGCGGTCAGCGCGAGGAAGAGGTTCTTGTGGATGGACGTCCGGTCAGACTTGGGGATGCTGCGCACGGCCACGCGCATAGAACACACCGAGGAGGGAGATCGGACGGAAACAAGTTGAAAATTTCGACACTTTTAGACGCGTTTTTGTCGAAAACAGGTTTCGGGTTGGAGTGAGAGGCTGCAACGGTGAGCACGCCACGCTATGAGCCTGGGCGAACCGAGGCTCACTGATTGTTGTTGTAACGCTCTTACCCCCCCTCCTCCCCCGACTGGACATTTGTGAAGAAGAGCTTCATAGCTCATCGGATTCCTCCAGTATGAATACATCCTCTGATTCTGAACCCGAGTTCGATTCCCGCTCAATGGTTAACATCAGTGCTGAGCCGAGTGATATCTGAGTCTCTCCCCCCCCCCCACGTCCCCCCCAACTTTCACCAAACCTGTACTGACCAGCTTGGTGAAGTATGGTCAGACAACCCCAACCGCCCAGGTCTACACGTGGTGCGGAGGGCTTCATCCAGCAGTGGATTGTCAGAGGGCTAAACCTTACAGTTATTCAAATGTAATTATTAAATAGATTTCATGACAAAAAAAAACATTTTGCAGTAGTGCAATTGGCCAAATATAAACATTCTACACATCATTTGTCTCATTCAAATTAAGTAACTGGTTAGCCAACTCGGGAAATCACTAAACAAAATGACAGCCCTTTGTCAATCCGCTGCTAGATGGAGCTCTCCCTGACACCCCGGCGGTCACGGGCGCTGCTTGACTATACTTCACCATGCTGGTTGACTATACTTCACCATGCTGGTTGACTATACTTCACTATGCTGGTCGGTGCAAGTTGGTGGAGTGGGGTACGAGGGGGGAAAGCATCGGTTCAGATATTACTCGCTACTATTGTTCTCATCATCATCATAACCGTTTATTATGTATTATTGTAATTATTTGTACCATTCCTCTCATGCAGTGAATCTCAAAGCGCCACGGCTGGGAATGGAACTCGGTCCACTGAGCTCACAGCGCAGCGAGCGAACAACTCGGCCACGGTTCATCAGCATTTATAATGAACTCGACTTCACGACTGTTTGTAAATCCCCTTGCCACACAGGTTTGGAACTTGCAGTCAAACGTAGACTTTTCAGCGCCGGCATAAGACCCGACCACCTGTTTAACAAATCCTCTTCTCTCTTTCGTTCTCTATCTCGTCTCTTTAAGGCTTTCTCTCCCTTCTCACCGATTCTCCTCCGTTATAAGCATGGCCCTATGAGATCCATTGTTGAAGGTCTCCTTATGAATCTAGTTCATTTATTAATTTTTTTTGTTTTGGGGGTAGATGGCCGTTCTTTCAGAGCAGGTAGAGAGTGAGAGTAGGAAAGACTGACTCGTGTAATCGAAGACCACTTTTTGCAGTGCCTTGTCCATGAAACAGAAACGAAACCCCGTTGAAAAGCGTTGAACTTGGAAACGGGTTCTGAATTGATATCTGAATATTTAATGACGAGCCGAGAATTCGATGTTTTATTTTTCTAATTACCAATTGTAACAAAAACTAAAAACTTGTGCGGTAGAATTTTCAGCGTGAGCCCATTCGCCACATGGCTGTGGTTAGGTAAAAAAAGAATATCTTTCCTGTGTACATTTTCCCCAGATATTCTGAAAATGGTATATATATATTCTTGGATCTTTCGGTAAAGTCACGTAGATAGGTTCAAAGAAAATAACAAAAAATAACAAAAAACAACGACGTTTCGATCGCAACACAAGCGTTCGTCTTCAGATGTGACTTTACCGAAAGACCCACGAATATTAATTCCTACAGTCACGAAAGCTTTAAGTCATGGTATATATATATTTATAATTGCCGCAATTTTGCTAAACAGTCATGTCTGCTGTCAGTAATATTCAGCAGTCGGGAAAAAACAATGGCACGGACCCTATAAACTTGGCTTAAAAACACACACACGGCATATTTGTTTAAACATAAATTAAATCCTGCGTCCGCTGCAGATTGCCGCGACGCTTTCATCGAAACTTGGGCAGGCAGCTGAGTTTTGGCAAAACATCGAGGCCCGTGAGTCTCGAACAAGAGACCAAGGGTGAGGGGTGGGGGGTGATCGCTGCCCTGACAGCGTGGCTCTGTTCCACGTGCGTTTGCACATCCAAATCTGGAAGTTTTGTAACTTTGCTGAAACAAGCCGGCTCGTACGTCTGTAAAATAAACACGTGGACTGGATGCACAACGTGCGGTGATTTGCTTGAGTGAGTGTGTTGCTTTGACGACAAGTGTGATGAGTAGGTGAGTGAGTGTGCTGTTGTGACTGCCAGTGGGGTGAGCAGGTGAGTGAGTGTGCTGTTGTAACAGTGACCATGGTAGTAGCGAGGAGGCGAGCGGGCGGGCGGATGAGTGGGTGGGTGTACACAAAAAGGCGTCTCACTCGAGCACGACAAAGAGCGTCAGGGTGACGACGAGAGCGCAGAGCGACGCTCCGGACCCGACGAAGGTGAGCACGTTGAGGATGTCCTCCTCGGCGTCTGTCCGCTAGATGGGGGGGGGGGCGCACAGGGGAGCGCTTTTATCTCACGCAGAGTCACGACCACACTCACCCACTCCCGAGAATACCCAGAGAGTCGCCCCTGGCCACCACTCCGCTCTCACCCCACTCAACTCCCCCTCCATGCACTCTCCTACCTCTTCCCTCTCATCTCACTCAACTCCCCCTCCATGCACTCTCCTGCCTCTTCCCTCCCTCTCATCTCACTCTACTCCCCTCCATGTACTCTCCTACCTCTCCCCTCCCATCTCACTCTACTCCCCTCCATGTACTCTCCTACCTCTTCCCTTTTATCTCACTCAACTCCCCCTCCACACACTCTCCTACCTCGCCCCTCTCATCTCACTCAACTCCCCTCCACACACTCTCCTACCTCTCCCCTCTCATCCCACTCTACTCCCCTCCACGCACTCTCCTACTTCTCCCCTGTCATCCCACTCTACTCCCCCCCACGCACTCTCCTACCTCTCCTACCTCTCCTTTCTCATCTCACTCTACTCCCCCTCAAGCACTCTCCTACCGCGCCCCTCTCATCCCACACTACTCTCCTTCACGCACTCCCCTACCTCTCCCCTCTCATTTCACTCAACTCCCCCTCCACGCACTCTCCTACCTCTTCCCTCTCATCTCACTCTACTCCCCTCCACGCACTCTCCTACCTATTCCCTCTCATCTCACTCAACTCCCCCTCCATGCATTCTCCTACCTCTCCCCTTTCATCTCACTCTACTCCCTCTCCACGCACTCCCTCACTCTCCCTGCTGATCTCACTCTACTCCCCCTCCACATGATCTCTGCTCCAGAAATCAACGCCTTCTCTCGAGACCTCCACTCGACCTTTGTTCAGTGGGACGTCGCTCATTCTCTTCTGCTGCCCCCAAGGCCTGAAACTCCCTCCCCCCAGTGATCTGTGCAGCTGACTCCCTGCCCCTATTCAAGTCTAGGCTCGAGACCTCTCCTCTATTGCTCTTCCTATGACTTGACTGCCTCTCTTTATTCAAATACAAAAATAAACCGACACACATTCAGACCCATTTTCCATATGAAGCCTAAATACCATTTTCTGTAAGCAACATGCTCCGATAAAGTTGCATTTTGATAATAATTATAACTTAGTACATTTGGTACTCATGCCCTCCTTGTCGCGCAGGGCTGTCACCCAGGCGCTATGTTACACAGTGTGGAGTAATTTCAAAGCAGGGGGTGATGTTGCGACGTGTAATCCCAATTGAATAATTTACAGGTAGATAAAAAAAATGTGCACAACGACATGGCGCACAATGGCTTACGCTCTTTTCGAATGCCGCCACGGGACCTTTAACGCCCACCGCGAGTGAAGCAGACGCCGTGTAGTTTACGCTTGATACACACCGCGCAGCATTATCCAGGGCGGCCTGTCGGGGTCGAACCGCGAACCTCTAGCAACGAGCGGCGCTACCAAAGGGCCACGTCACAGCCCGGCTGCTGCCTCCGCCGCCGCTGTATAAATCCAAACCGTATAGCGCTCTCTTGTTGTGTTTTAAGAGAATGATTTGTGCGTATATCACGGGAGGCTGTAAAAGCTTGTCACGCTGAAGGCTGAGCAGTGGGAACTTAGGGCGGGGGGGGGGGCGGGAAGTTTGTTCATTCAAAGAAAGTGTGCAGAGAAACAATGAGCTGCACATTCGTCAGCTGAGACAGAATCACGCCGTTTTACAGCCGAGTCAAAGGGGCCGCGGTCAATCGCGCGAGCGGACCGCCGCCGCAGCGTGGATTTTTACGATGATATTTTATTAACAATTTTTGTTATTATTATTATTATCATCGCCGCAATGAAATGCTGTTTGGGACGTCGTGAGCTCCTGGCAATCTGTGAACCCGGATCCTCCGTGGGCCTCGCTTCAAAGCACGTGCCAAAAAATGCGAACATTGCCTCCTGCAAGGCGGACAGGGCATATAAATCGAAGCTCTCTCAATGATCTCAGCCCGGGTGCCAATAAATGCTCGCGATAAACCTGTCGCGGAGTGAATGGCCGCGCATGATTTGGTCATAGGGCTGCAAATGGGCAGTGGCTGGCCGGCTGCCCGGTGCAGCATTGGCAGAGGTTCCATCCATGGGGCTCTTTGTTGCACCGGGTTCGCACGTGGCCTGTTAGGCGGTGGTGGAAACGGAAATTTACAAGTCACGATATTAAACCTTTCGATTTAAAGCTTTCGTGACTGCAGGGATTCATCTTCTTGGTTCTTTCGGTAAAGTCACGTAGAAGGGAAATAATAAAATAATGAAAATAAAAATAATAAAATAATTCTCACGACGCTTCGGCCACAACGCAAGCAGCCGTCCTCAGGTGACAGACATATTCTTCACCTGAGGACGGCTGCTTGCGTTGTGGCCGAAACGCCGTGAGAGTTATTTTATTATGTTTTATTTTTATTATTTTATTATTTCCCTTCTACGTGACTTTACCGAATGAACCAAGAAGATATTAAACCAGTTTGTCCGGACAGCCTGCGTTAGCTGCCATTCCCTTCCGTGGAAATTCTGCCGTGTAGGCATAGGAATCGTTCTGAAAAGTGCCGTTGTGACGTGCGTCCCATGTACGTAAATTTCCACCACCGCACAAGGCGGAGGAAAGTGGAAACGAATGACAACCTACGGGCTATCTGCCCATGGATAGTGATGATGATGATGTAGTGTAAGATTTGCTCTGCTTGTGATGATTCGTCGTTGATCTGATCCGTGATCCGTTAACCCCGCTGGGTACTCACTGCCAGCCACTCGTCTCTCTTCCTTCCTCCTCTTACCTCTCTCTGAATGTCCCTGCCTCCAGCCCTTCGTATTTCCCTCTTGTCTCCTAGATCACAGCTCTAGGCACTTATATTTTCACATGGGCATCCCGGTCGCCTTCATTCTGTGGACTCCGGCTCTCTTTTGTTGTTGTTGTTGAAAAATACAAAATGGAATGGCCAAAGGTTCCGCCAGTACCAGAATGGCAGATACTGCGGATTAAATTGGCAAAAATTGGAACAATGAGGATGAAAAGGTCACTCTTCCTTTTAACCGTAACTGGTCAAACCTTTTGCTGGCGTGAAAATCAAACGCCGGATTTTTTTTCCCGCAATGCAAAAGAAGTAGGAGAAAAAAAAAAGAATCGGATGATGTCGTGGGGTTTTTTTTTGAGCCACTATAAACAAACACCGTGAAAAATAACACGTGATAATAAACAATAATAAATAAATAAAATGTACCCGCGTACATTGAATTAGTAACAGCAAGGTGACATTTGATGTTACAGCTCGCGGTGCAAAATAGAAAATTAAAAAAAAATAAAAATTGCGAGCTCTAGAAGGTCAGCGCGTGCCCGATGATGAAGGCAGAGCGGCAGTAAAGAGGAACTCGTGAACCACGGAGCAAAATATCAAATTGAAAATAAATTAATGTAACAACATTGGAAATAAAAATTGAACTTGCATTCCCGGTGCGGCTCTGCGCTGGGTGTGGATGGGCGCGTGTCTCGCCGGCCATGCATGCTGTATGAGGTTGCCACCTGTTTTCATTTTCCCAAAGACCGTCCCCTTTTCGAGGTAGCTGTCCTGGGAAATCTACGAGTCTTCCGGAACATTAAAAGCCCCGGCTTTTATTGTCACTTGCATAATAATAATAATATTAATAATCCACAGCTCAAGAGGCCTCATTTACATGCATCTTCTCCCTTCGACTGCTATTGTGCGATATTATTCTTCCTCGCGACATGTGCTGGATTGTCTTTTTTAATATCCCTGAGGTGGCAACCCTCGGTATTATATACGGGCAGGAAGTGATGTAAATCGGACCGTTGTAAACCGGATCCCGCCTGTGTAGAAGGTGCACCGTCGTACCTCGACCTCCACCACCTGCAGGAGCACGGCGAAATTGGTCGTGTGGTTGCAAAAGCACGACGTGGACTCAGTGCCGGTGCGGATCAGCTTGCAGCCTTTGTCTGACCAGCCGCCCCCCGATCCCATCCTGGAAAGGCAGCCAGCGAACAGTCGTCAAAATATGAGAAATAATAATAATAATAGGTTTTACCATTGCTGGCAGTGAAACAGGTATTCATATTCTAGGGTCTTTCGGTGAAGTCACGTGGATAGGTTCAAAGAAAATAACAAAAAATTTAAACAGGTGTTAAGATATTCTTGGTTCTTTCGGTAAAGTCACGTGGAAGGGAAATAATAAAATAATATATTTAAACATTCTCCCTTCTACATTCACGGAGAAGGGAAATAATAAAATAATAATAAATATTTTTACAATAAAGATATCTTTTTATTTTATTATTTACCTTCTACGTGACTTTACCGAAAGAACCAAGAAAATGAATCCCTGCAGTCACGAAAGCTTTACATCAAAATTTAGGTGTTAAGATGTTCAAAAAGGTCTGCATTAACCACACATGGTTGTGGTGACCATGCAAACAAGACATGCTCTGATAATGTGTGCATTGTCTTTGAAACTGATTGGCCTACACCAGAGACGGCCTTGTTCTTTATGGCCTCGTCTCACCAGCGTCAGGTCAGAGAACGCCAAAAGACGAACAGTACAAAAACAATGCTCTTATCAGAGCATTTATAGCTCGGGGCGAGCAGCTATACCATGGCAGACCTTTTGATACTGGCAAAACGGTATCCCATGAGTCGTCAAAATGCACGACTCGCATGGCCGCATGCCACCCGGAATGACAAAACACTGAGTTTTGGGTTTTGTTTACGTTTTTGTTTCAATTAGGATTTTTCCACAATTTCATCCCAATGGTGCTATCGGTGATTATATCATGAGGCAAGGAAAGTCTGCATTCGGATCATTCGCAAAACAGCGCTGACACTCTGTGTGTGTCTTTCAGATTTATATTAAAACACTGTTGTTTATGCTGTTTTCAGTTTAGCTGTGGCATGGGTTTCTTGTAAATAATAGCGGGTTTTGCTCTTGTTAGTTTGTATGTTCCCACCCTACGATGTTTTGTAACGGCCGCCACTGCTGCCCTTCTTGGGCTGTGGTCTCCGAGTCTCTATGCAACTCTATAGATCCCTAAGAATACGTCATTCTATGTAACTATATGGATTTGTGTGTAACTCTGTCCTTGTAACAGAGCTGCTAAGCTCAATGAGGTCTTCCTAGCTGAAATAATGCAGCCTGAGTCACAGTGCAACCGGGGCCTTAAATTTAACTTGATCTGTCTGGGTCAGCGACCCAGCAGATATTTCCTTATACCGCACACCGCATCCGGTAATGTATACCTTTTGCTATGGCTGTGGCTACTAGTCATGGTGCCTACTGAGGGCTACTGGCGACCGACCAAACATGTAGTGAGAAATTAAGTCCGAATAGCACACTTAGATCTGAGAAAATTGCTCACGGAAGTGGATATTACAGAGCTGCCACAGATATCTTCCAGTGACCTCTCGTCCGCCCACTCTTCCTCTTGAGAGTGATAATCTTTGTATGACAATCGAACCAACATTTGTAATTCTCAGCAGAGGAATTTGGCCAAATTAAGTGCACAACAAAAATTAAATATGACGGGGCTGTTTCACACTCTCACTGGTGACTTGGCTGAGACCATCACCTCACCGCACTTGAGAGACGGCTGAAACCTGAATTCGAACCCAGCTTCTCAGCTGTGTCGGCTTGGCGCCCTTCACATTCGAGCCACGTGGCCACTTCAAATTTTTATAGTTTTTTTTTTACGTTCAGAACGAAGCAAGGGTGTATGTTGACAATCGGTACTCACTGTGGCTTAAAATCCCAGAATACACACATGGGTTTCGCAGGTTTTAGAGACACGGCCTGAAACAAGACGAGAGAATAACTGCTTTATTGAATGACGCCAATGGGATTATGGTGTTTGATTTCGTTGCTTTTTTCATGCCCAGGTGTTGATGTCCGTGCCGTTTGCGAGCGGCGTACCTGAGTGACATGATGCAGCATGTACTGCACGGATGTTGATATCTCAGTTGGGGCCCCGCCAGGAACTCTGGGTAATCGCGTTGAAGATGAAACGACAGATGTTCCCAGAACTCTCTGCTCTCTCCTGGACATTTAACGGAATTTTTGATTTGACAAACATCGCGTTCAACTCGCGAATCAAAAAACACACTTTAATTTGTTCCCATTTTTTTCCCCCGCGACTCGGTTTTATAATGCGGTAACCCTTTAAGACAGACTCACCGTGTTCTGCCATCCTTGGTGAGGAACACGGGGCCCCTGCTGTACTGATGCAAGGCAGCGTCAGAGCCAAATAGAGCCGGAAGGCTGCTGTAATGAGCGTGAATGAAGGTAAGCGCTTCATGCCCTAGTTGCACACACATTCAACAACATCATCATCATCACCCCCAAGGATCACTGCTGTACGCAGGCTTCCCCCAAGCTGTCGCCATCCACAGCGGTTCTGAAATACAACAATCCAGCAGGCAAAGAAGCATGCGAGTCGATTGCATCGCCCCACCTCCGCGATTGACGTCCTCACCTGCACCTACCCTGATGAAATCTGCGTTGCAGGTTACTGGACATCAGTGGAAAAATAGCTTCATACCTTGTCGGATTCCTCCAGTTTCAAAACAAATATTCTGATTCTGCTCAAAGGGACTGCGTTCCAGGCTGCACTAGCATTGTGAGAACGATACGTGACCACGTTGCACCAATGCTCGACAATCATTCCCCATATAAACCAGACTGTTGGGGACAGGCACCGATAGCAGACGCCTATTCACGCTGGCCCGGCACACAAGGAAGCAGCATCGCCAGTACCATGCCCGGCCGCTATTGTCTCCCCCAATACAAAATGTTCACACACCACACCCGGTACTCGTTTAATGCTGAGTCAACCCTAGGGTAGACCCAGAAAGGTTCTGGCACAATTAGCCATCGATGTGAACCGTGGCGGCGAATCGAATGTAGGTCACTGGCTTCTTAGCGCAGGCACTGAAACACCACCACCACCACCAACAAGGACAAAACCCCCCCTATAGCCTTAACAAACTGTTGGGGCAAGCGCTGTTAGCAAGCACCTATGAAGGCCGCAACGGCACACGAGGGGGTGGGTGGCCTGCACGACGCCCCGCTGCCTTTGTCTCCCCAGTGGCGATGTTTACACACCACATCAGGCACTCATTTGAGGCTGAATTGACCTAGGGGAGGCCCAGCAACGGTTCAGATAATCGTCACGGGTGTTGTGCCGTGAGCGGCAATCGAACTCGGGTCGCCGGGTTCGTAACGCAGCGTAGTGCTAACCGCTACACGACGGCTACTCCCCCAGGACCACACAAACCAAAGACAAAGATCCCCCAAATAGCCTTAATAGCCTGCGGGGGCAAGTGTCGTTAGTGAGCACCCAGAAGCGCACCCACGCAAAAACAACGACACAGAAACACCCAAACAGAAACACCGAGGTGAGCGGTCTGCGCGAGAGAGATCCGTACCTGCGGATAGCAATCTCTCAACCTCTGCTGCGGGTATCTCGATCTGGTTGCTGCTCTGGCTTTCGGCTTCGTCACTGGGGTTGAAGACCACTCCGCTCACTCGCACGCCCTCCAGCTCCAAACGCTCAATGCGCAAATCTGAAAGCGTCAAACACAACGGCGCCTCCAATCACCGTGGCACGGCACGGACGCTGGGCACCTTAAAATATAAAAATAAATTATTCTAGATTTGAAGCTTGATACAGTAAATTTCAGCTGTTACGGTCCCACCTGATGACGGAGACTGGTGTTGCCTCCGAAACGTCGTGATTTATTATTTTATTTCTATTATTATTTATATTATTTATTTTCTTTTTTACCTACGTGACTTTACCGAAAAAAACCCAAGAGTAATACTAATTTTAAAAAAAATTTTTACGCGCATATTTCGTTCAGCTTCAGAGAGAGAGAGCATGATATTTTATCATTAATTCGCCCGCAGTATTAACCAGAGCGGCCTGCGGGATTTGAACCGTGAATCGGCGAACGAGCCACCGCCCCAAACTGTTGGTGCCGCATGCGAGGTCCTCACCGATGTTCTCCTCGCTGAGGGTGATGTTGAGCTTTTCGGACGACAGCGAGTCGGCCAACTGAAACGCGAACTTATCCAAACTCTCCACCACAGCCATCGGGCCGCCGCCGACCACCTGTACAGCAGACGCAAAAAAGACGAAGGTCCCCCGTATAGCCTTGCCAGACTGTTGGGGCAAGTGCCACTAGCGAGAAGCCTATGAAGGCAGCAACGGTACACGAGGGGGTGGGTGGCCAGCACCATGCCCGGCCGCCTTTGTCTCACCAGTGGCGATGTTTACACACCGCACCAGGTACTCATTTGAGGCTGAGTCGACCTAGGGGAGGCCCAGGACCGGTTCGGATCATCGTCACCGGTGTTGGGCCGTGAGCGGCAAATCGATCTCGGGTCGTCGGGTTCGAAGCGCAGCGCACTTACCGTTGCACGACCGCTCCCCACACACAGACACACACACACACGCGCGTACGCATGAACGCGTGTTGATTAAACCGCACACCGAGGGTCGATGAGCAACCGCTGTTTGACAAGGCACAGGTCATGTCCTCCATGGTGACCAGTCTCAGCACCCAGGCTCAGCTCCACGTTCGTAGTCACGGCTCAGCTTAGACTTGGTTTCCGGCTCCAGCGAGCCGGCTCTGAGCCAAGCACTCAACGTGAGCCGGCTCTGAGCACGGTCCCAGCAACGCGCGAGATTTCCACGAGGCCAGCCAGAGCCGAGCCACGGCCGAGTCGCTCGCGCGTATTCAAAAGCAACGGAGCGGCTCAAGCCAGAGCTGAGCCTCGAGCGTTCGAGGCTTAGCCAGAGCCGAGCCGCGACTGAGAAGAATACGGCCCTCGGTGTCGCCCCGTAGCGATGTCGCGGTGGCGCACGAGCACATCTCACAAAAAGCTCAACCTATCCGTACATGAACGCGAAACAAATGTGCAAGGGGTAATGTCTCGGCAATGGGCCCTCTTAAGAGAAGCGTTATTTGAGTTTCGAGTGAATTTGGCTGACCGGGTGAGAACTCGAGAGGCAAGGATCGTCTCATTTCCGAGACTGACAGCGGTGGGGGAGGGTACCGCCCATTTGAATGCGTTGAGCATTTCTGCTTTGGGCTGCTTACATTACATTTCCACCGAACTGCACTTCCACGGACGTTTCATTGCACTTGCAACGAAACAGTAACATCCTGAAGCCACGTGACTGGGCTGCACCTCCGATTAGAACGATTGGCTACGTACGGCGCGAAAGAAGTTCAACATGTCGACAACATACAAAGAAGAGAGCTGAGCTGGTACGGCTGAGCCCGTGGGCAACTCAACCGGGTTCTTGAGTGAAAGTGAATCGATGATCTCAGCGCGGCCACCAATCAGTGCATAGGAAAACGATCTCAATCAATGTGTTGCTGCGCTTAATTTGGCCAAATTCCAGCTGTGAGAATTAAAAATATCGGATTGTGCATCGTGCGATGAACATCACTCTCCATGGTGGGGTGGGGTGCGCTGGGTTGGAGATTGAACAACTCTGAAGCACTTTTCATCCAAATGAACCACATTCGAGTAATTGCTCATACCAAAAAGTAACGCATCAATTTCTCGCATCCTTTCCAAGAAATAGTGGTGCAACATGTACGTTGAACCGCGCTGATCGGAGGTGCACGTGTTAGAAATTGCATTATCGTTATTACTGCTCTGATAGCGCTGTTAGTTGCTGGCCATTTGACGATTTGGCTCATCTTCTTGGTTCTTTCGGTAAAGTCACGTAGAAGGGAAATAATAAAATAATAAAAATTAAACGTTTCGGCCACAACGCAAGCAGCCGTCCTCAGGTGAAGACCAGGTCTGTCGGGGAGACAGCGTCTGAATGACAGCTGTCTCCCCGACGCTGTCTCCCCGACAGACCTGATCTTCACCTGAGGACGGCTGCTTGCGTTGTGGCCGAAACGTCGTGAGAATTATTTTATTATGTTTTATTTTTATTATTTTATTACTTCCCTTCTACGTGACTTTACCGAAAGAACCAAGAAGATGAATCCCTGCAGTCACGAAAGCTTTAAATCGAGATTTGGCTCATTTTCAGTAACTTACGTGAACAACAACAACAAGACAAAATCCAAGGCGCACCTGCTCAATGCGCTGCCACTGCCCCGAGTTGTTCGGGGAGAGACAGCCGCTGGCGAGGGCCACAAAGCGGCCTGCCAGGTCGCCGGGGGCCCCGGTGTGGGGCCTTCCCTCCACCAGGCCCATGTCGGCCACGCTGCCCAGCAGCCGCGCGACGGCCAGCAGGTCGGCCGGAGCCAGCGCCACGCGGTCGCCCTCCATCGCCTGCAAGGCGGCCCCCAACAGCACGCCCGCCTCCGACGCGTTGGCGAGCGACTTGGTGCTGTTCAGCGCCAGGTAGTCAGACACCTGCGGGGAGGTGCGATCGGTTGGTCGTTTTGTCATCGGTGAGTCCGCTATGCCCCCCCCCCCCCAATCTCTAACTCCCTGCCCACGGCAACTCTGCCTGGGCACCGCTCCCTCACATCCCTCCTCTTCAATCCTGCGCCTTCACACCCCCTGCATTACTTCCAGTCTCTCCTTCTCTCCAGAGAATGAGTGAGTGTGTTAAGTGGGTGAGTGGGTGAGTGAGTGGGGAAGTGAGTTGGTGAGTGAGTTGGCGAGTGAGTGGATGAGTGAGTGTAGGAAATCCGATTACTGATGTTTGTCAATCCATTGATGGATGAAGGCTCTCCCCAAGTCCCCGCCATCTCTCACAACCCTGCGATGTTACTAGAAGACATTGCCGTTTGGCAAATGAAACTTTGCCAAATGCTGGGATGCAAGAAAAGTGCAAAAAAATGTGGACTGTGTGTGTGTATATTTAAAGTGTGGCACATTCCTGGACTGAACGCCCTTTATTCAGCATTGCCAACCAGTTCCTGGAAAGTAAAGCCGCACATCTGGCTTCAGGGAAACACGGCCAAGGGTAGAGGAAGGGGGAACAGGGAAGTGTTTTTTTCCATTCATTTGTTCTGTTAAACCATTTTGATTGCCTGCTTGGGCACGCTTGAGCTTCGTTTTCTCATTAGGCGCAATATAGTAACTCCTGAGCAGGAGATGCGCTAGGCTCAAGCACACAAAGCGAATGCGTAGGGCCCCGATTATGTTGAGTTGAATATAAAACGTAAAATATAGTTTCGTTTTATTTAAAGTGATTTGTTTACCATTCCTATACTTTGCACTCCTTATCGTGTTTTTGTGTTATTGTTGGTGTTGTTGTAGCGTTCTGACCTGCCCCTACTGGACATCTGTGAAACAAAAGCTTTCTAGGTAATCGGATTCCTCCGGTAATAAATAAATATTCAGATTCTGACGTCAAGTTGGACTTGGATGCGTGAAGAAATAGGGCGCATCAAATACCATCTCGAATTGAAATCTGAATAAACATCACCAGCTGATTAACACAACACCAGGCCAATTCATCTCTCTCACCTCGATATAGTCTGCATCTCTCTCATCTCATCTTACTACATCTCAAATGTATTTTCCTACATCTATATTATCTCACAGCATCCTCTATCTTTTGTCCATATCACTGCTGTCATAGCACTCAGAATTGTATAAATTTAAAGCCTCCCCCCCATTGGCTAGCACAGGGGTCGGAACACCGACATAACGAAAAGAAGGTAATTTTGTTTTCGAATTCGGTTTCTATAAAAAAAACTCAATATTTCAAGAGCCGCCATGCACGTGGTGAACACGAAAGTACTTGAGTACCATTAAAAAAATTTGGCTCGAGGGGCCGCGTTGCGAAACGCCATCTCCGATTTCAAACGACTCGGTGTGCAGCCCCCTTCCTGCAGGCGAAATCACTGGCGGGAGAGCTGATTGAGCCACGAAACGCCGAGACCCAGGGTTTCGAATATTGTTACTCTCTGGTTCTTTCGGTAAAGTCACGTAGATAGAAAGAATAATAAAAAAATACGACGTTTCGGTCGCAACACAAGCGTCCGTCATCATGTGACCAACACAAGCGTCCGTCACCGGGTGAGCTCACCTGATTACGGACGCTTGTGTTGCGACCGAAACGTCGGATTTTTTCTATCTATGTGACTTTACCGAAAGCACCAGAGAGTACGATTATTGCAGTCACGAAAGCTTCAAATCAATTTCGAATATTGGTTTCAGCTGCCTGTGGATTAAACCGTGTCCTCAAGTGTGATGAATTAATGGTCTCGATCGGCGGGCATTAACAAAAAAAAATTCATCTTCAAAACGCGTCTTTTTCTGCTTCTTCCCTCGCACTGCTCCACTTTGGAATTCCCTTTCGCCCTCATCATCGCCTCTTCACCCCCCCTCCCTTCCCGTGACGCTCTTAACAGTAATAAAATGTATCAATTGTAGGAACGAGTTTAACTCCTATCCAATACAACTTCGTGGGAGCGCTGTTCGTCCATGGCTGTCCTGACGTTTTGGGGCCTTTCTCTGCCAGTGCTCGAGCAAATTGTGTTTTAAAAAAAATCTATAACCGCGACGTTCGGATTTAACACACGCCCTGAAAGCGCCGCGAGAGTGATTTGCCACAAAAAAAAACGTGAACCCACCAGAGAGCCACCGATGAGACCGTTGAGTTTGGCAGCAAACGGCGTTTCGGACTCCGTAGCCAGCGCCTGGTAACTGTCGTAGGCACCTACAACGACCCAGTACACGCAGGATGATGTCAGGACAGACGGGAACATTTCGTTACCCTCGTGGCTCACAGCAAGAAGGCCCTAGGTTTGATTTCAGATCCGGACGCGTTTCTGCGTGGGACTTGTGTGTTCTCCCACTGTTCCGGCATGGGTCTTTTCTGGGTTTTTTCCACAGATAAAAAACGTACATTGTATCTCTGGGACGTTTTTGTCACTATCAAAAATGATGAAAAAGAAGAATAGGTTTTAACCCTTTCTGGAAATGAAACAAGTCTAAAGATGTTCAAACACTATATAGATACCTATTGCAAGGTAATCAAGTCTGCATTGACCACACATACTGATCATTATTGATGCATTGTCTTTGGAACTGATTGGCCTACACCACTGGCCAACATCTTAATGCTGATAAAGAATATTCGAGGCTGCGTCGACTTCACTGCACAAATATCACCCGTATAACCTGCACAGACGATTGAGGGCAAGTGCTCTTAATAGCAGCACTTATGAAGGCCGGCACGGTGGCACACGAGGGAGGGTGGGTGGCCAGCACTACACACGACCACCTTTGTCTCCCCTGTGGCGATGTTTACTCATTTGAGGGGGGCGGGGGCGGCAGAAATGGTTAAAATATTCGTCACCGATGTTGGCCGTGAGCGAGAATCGAACTCGCGTCGCCGGGTTCGTAGTGCAGCGCACTAACCGCTCCACCATTGCTCCCCATACGCAACCACCGTCGTTCACCAATAAGTGGCGGTGGAGTCACCACGGCGCCTGTGCCAGGCCAGGTGCACTTTGAAGCCACGTGAAGTGTCGAAGGCTCGCTGACAGGGTGTCACGGAACAGACCCAGCAGGTTGCCATGGGTCGACCGAACTGATACGACTGGCAGATTTACTGTGCAGACACTAACGCTCAAGCACACACACACACGTGCACACGCGTATTCAGCACACACACACACGCGCACGCACACACACGGACGGACGTTCGCGCGACGCACTCTGCCTGTACTCGCAGAGGAAGGGCTTCTTGTCGTCGCAGCTCGACACCTCCCAGCGGCCCGTGGCCGGGTGCAGTGCGGCGCAGCCCCCAGCACAAGCGCCCGCAGCGCCCCCAGCGCCGCCGCCGCCGCTCACGTTGTGGAAGGTCGACACGGAGCCGTCGGCCCAGGTCACGGTGACGGGCGGCGTTTGCCGGCGGGCACCGCCACCGCCGGCAAAGCCGATCACCGCTCCTGCTCCGGGCGTGGAATCTGACGCCGGAAGGTTTGGGGGGGGGAAGAAAGGAAACGGGGGGCTCACAAGCAGCGGGTTTACGCGCATCGCCAGCAGCTGCCTCGCAATATTTGCAGGAACTTCTTCTTTTTGACTTAAAGCTTTCGTGACTGCAGGAATTCATAGGTTCGTAGAAAATAACACAAATAATAAAAAACGACGACGTCTCGATCACAACACAAGCAATCGTCATCAGGAGAAAGAAAAAAGAGCGATGATGACGATTGATTGTGTTGTGATTGAAACGTCATAGTTTTTTGTTATTTTTGTTATTTTCTTTGAACCTATCTACGTGACTTTTACGGAAAGACCCAATAATATCATATTCTTCTTCTTTCGTACGACTGATGTAGATACAGGAAAAACCGCCACTTTTTTCAAATTTTCTTGCTGTGGATTTCACACCTGATGATGATTGCTTGTGTTGCAGTCGAAACGTCGTGAGACTTTTTATTGTTTAATATTTTTATTATTTTATTATTTCCCTTCTACGTGGCTTTACCGAAAGAACTAATAATATGAATTCCTGCAGTCACGAAAGCTTTAAGTCAAGATTTAGGCTCCTGTTCATTTCCTGATTTCCATACACGGGCGCAACATTGGGATCTACGGATGAGAGGTGCCGCCAACACCTCTCACGGCCCTGCGATGTAATCATCCGCCCAGCACCTGCGCATGAGCCGATGATTTCACCACCCCACTTCCCTGGCACGCACTCATCATGGGTGCGTTCCGTTCCTTGGCTGCCACTTTGTCGTCATATTCTTAGGTTTTTTCGGTAAAGTCACGTAGGTAAAACATCAAAATTAATAAAAATAAAATAAAGATCACGACGTTTCGGAGGCATTTTTTCATCAACGGTCCCATCGTCCCTGCCCGCGACATGTCCTGCCCAAAAGGCCACACACTTTTTAAAAAATTGTATTTCTATTTTCAGCAACAACACAACGGAAAATAGAACCGGAGTACGGTATACGTTGTCCAACGTTGATACGCTGGCAACACGCACACACACGCAACTTTTCTTAACAGTTTAACCTGCGTGTGTGCCTCACTCTCGATGGCATTCTACGCATGCGGCGCATGGATTATGCAACGCTCTCTAACGTAAGTATTCGTGGGCGTTTAATTTAACGTGTGTAATTTCAAGCATGCATGGCACATTGACATTGAACTATCGGTACACATCTTCTTGGTTCTTTCGGTAAAGTCACGTAGAAGGGAATAATAAAATAATAAAAATACAACATAATAAAATACAATTCTCACGACGTTTCGGCCACAATGCAAGCAGCCGTCCTCAGGTGAAGACCAGGTCAATCAGACGCTGTCTCCTCGACCAGGTCTATCAGACGCTGTCTCCTCGACAGACCTGGTCTTCACCTGAGGACGGCTGCTTGCGTTGTGGCCGAAACGTCGTGAGAATTATTTTATTATATTTTATTTTTATTATTTTATTATTTCCCTTCTACGTGACTTTACCGAAAGAACCAAGAAGATAAATCCCTGCAGTCACGAAAGCTTTAAATCGAAATTTATCGGTACACAGGTAAGGATCAAAGTTTCAAATCGAAATGTGCAAATGTGTCTGCTGTATCAAGCACTAATCTTCAGCGTCACGATGATTGTTTTAAAGCAAGATTAACGATGTGAAGGGAGGTAACGAGGCTCTTCCAAAACGTTGGCGCTGCAACGGCAAAGGCTTTGTGAGCTATTCCGATTCTTGTTCAAGGTGTCCCCCACCCCCACCACCCGCATACCTATGGGAACCTCATTTGCTAGTATAAATATGATAATTGTTTTTTTTACCCTTCTATCTGGCAACAAAACTGACACCTTTTTACAAGGAGTCATGTTTGCATAGACCACAATACCTGCAGTCATAATGCAAACAAAAGACGTAACTCTGATAATGTGCACTGTCCTTGAAGTTGATTGGTCCACACCCGAGACAGCTTTCCTTAGAGCCTCGTCTCACATGGGTTGGACCAGATGACGCCAAAAGGCGCACAACTCACAGACAATGCACCATCAGAGTATGAGAGCTCGGGGCAAGCATCTACACTATGGGAACCTCATTTGCCAGTAACAATATGACAATTGGTTGTTTACCCTTCTATCTGGCAACAAAACTGACACCGCGTACCGTTGCATTGGAGGACATGCTGGGAGATGCTCACGGAGCTCTCCACCTCCAGCTGACACAGGTCCCAGGAGAAGAGGAGCGACGAGTCGCTGGTGGCGTGGGGCGGTGCGCACGACGATGCCAGCGCGGCCACCTCGACCTCGCCCAGCTCGCGCCGCCACAGCCGCAGGTCGGTGAGGTTGCCGCTGAACGCCTCGTCGCGCTTGAACGCGCCGCCCAGGGAATCTTGCTCCTGTGAGGAGCGACGTCGATGACAACGATGATGATGATGATGACCATGGCGATAATGACGATGATGATGACGATGATGACGATGATGATGATGATGACGATGATAATGATGATGAAGATGATGATGACGACGACGATAATGATGACGATGATGACGACGACGACGATGATGATGATGATGACGACGATGATGATGACGACGATAATTATGATGATGACGACGATGAAGATGATGGTGACGACGACGATAATGACGATGATGACGACGACGACGATGATGATGAAGATGATGATGACGACGACGACGATGACGATGATGATGACGATGACGATGATGACGGCGATAATGACGATGATGATGCCAAAAAATGTTGATAACAACGATAATGACGATAATGACGATGATGATGACAAAAAATTTGATAACGACGATGATGACGGTGGTGATGATGGTGATGGTGGTAATGACGACAGTCAATGGAGCACGCAGATAAAAAATATAATGGTTGTATTTTTCTGGCGTCATTCATGCTTATTGCCTCCCACAACTGTTGTCCATTGATTATATATATCCGACAAATCCCATTTATAGCAACTGTCAAGCAGATGAAAACCCTCAGAAAATGGAATTGAACAAACAAAGCAAGAAATGGCACGAAAACTAAAGGCACAAAAACATTTCACAACAAGAGAAATTAGTCCATTCAGTCTCAACCCAGACTACAATCACAACTTCTTGAAACATGCCAAATTGTTTTCCCGGAATGAATGCCATTTCGTCAATTTGACCTTTCCCAATTTTTTTTTGTTATGAATGATGATGAAAAAAATATATATTTCCGTACGTCCAATATGTTGTGGTGCGTGAAAAACAAGATGACAATTGATACCATTTGCCAAAATATCTATCCTATCCAAAAACGAGGTGAAACAAAAGAGCTGGGTATCCTTTTTCGAATTAATATATTAATGACTTTAAGATGCAGTAAATCGATTGCAAGTTGAAATCAGATCCACGTGACAAATCCTGTACCATCGCAAGCACAGGTACGGCTCGTGTGGTTTAATTCCCACGCAGGGAAAATGCGACTAAAACTATGAAACCATTATATATTGTTTATTTTTTACAGGGTAAGGCCCGCTGAGCTTATATAGCTCTGTGGGCAGCGGGGGGCGGGGGGAGCGGGTGGGGTCTCCCACGCCTTGAAAACATTCGGTGGGCAAACAATTTTCATTCGCCACCTTTAGCCCCCAGTCCACATCTTTGTCGACACGGGATAGGAGCTAATTGCCTTCATTTTAACAGTCAAAAGTAAACATGTTAATGCGCACTCTTTACTATTGAGATGCTGTCTAGCGCAGTTTGCGCAATTGTTTTTAGTAATTTAAAAGCCCGATCGCTCAGTGGAGAGAGAAGCGTTAGCAGCAGCAGCAACCACTCCCTAAGGATAGACCAATTCCCCGAGCGACTGCTGCAAACGAGACTCATCCCGGCCTCTCGAGATCTCATCTGGGTTAAACACAAGCAAACCTGTCGAGTCTTAGGGGAACGCGGTTTGAACCAAGGGTGGCCAGGAGCCAGATTCGAACGCGGGGGGGGGGGGGGGGGGACCTCTCTCTCTGCGCGGTGCCAACTTCACCGTCTCTGACCTCCGAGCCACCCTGCCTGTCCCCTCCCACGCGTCCGCTGTCGTGACACGGCACGGATGCCAAGGCCTCCAACAAAAACTGCTGCACGTCCACCACCCACTACGCTTAAACAAAACAAAAAAATGTTTCGGAAAAAATAACACCAAATACACCGAGGAGTCTTTACGGTTATTTTTCTATAAAAAGTGTTCCGTATCAGCCAGTTTGCATTGTTACTTAGGAAACTTGCACACGACCGCTCGTGACGCGCTCGCACGCGCGCGCGTCACGAGCGCCGAAACGAGGCGCGCGCTTGCGCTCGGGGGAATTTTACTGAAAGTACGGGATTGGAAAAAAGTAAAACATAAATTTGTGTTTCAAAGGCTAACTCTGGGAGGAAGCCCAGGAGAGGCCCTTTCCTGCGATCATGACCCCCTTTGCCCCCCCCCCCTCCCGGCTACTTACGGAATGAGCCGCAGGTCTCCAGAGGGAAGTTCACGACTCGTTGCAATTTGTTGAAAGCCGTAATTTGTTGGCGGGCGTTAACCACGGGAAGAATGAGAAGAAGGAAAATAACTTTGATTTCATTCCCTCCCCCCCCCCCCCGTCGAATCATTATTTATTTCATCTCATTCTCATTTGTCTAGCGAGCGGGGATTTACTCTTGCTGCTGTTGGCCCGCTCTCGTTCAACAGCTTCAAAGGAAATCTCGAGTTATTCGCAATTGATGGGGGGGAGGGGTGGAAACAACCGTGTCCGTAATTAAACCTCGGTCGTACAAACGCACCGCATGTGCACACGGAAACAAATATATATTTGATAGTAACACGTGCGGTAGTGGGTCGATCGAATATAGGTTTCGTCATTCAAAGAACAAAAAAAAACTTTGTGCGATAACGCTGTAGGGAATAATTCATTCCCGCCGGTATTTAAAGATTTATGGCTTTCGTTGGCAAACAAGAAAAAAGAAACCCTCAAGTACTTGGGTGCCAGTTTCAGGGTCAAACCTGGAAAATCACCTACAGAGACAAGAACGGCGACGACGACGATGATGATGACGATGACGATGATGATGACGACGATGATGATGATGATGACGACGATGATGACGATGGTGATGATGACGACGATGATGGTGATGACGAAGATGACGACGATGATGATGACGACGACGACGATAATGATGACGACGACGATGACGATGATGATGATGACGATGATGACGACGATGATGATGACGATGATGATGATGATGACGATAATGTTGATGACGATGATGACGACGATGACAACAACGACGATGATGATGACGACGATGATGACGATGATGATAACGACGATGACGACAACGACGATGATGACGACGACGACGATGATGATGATGACGATGACGACGACGATGATGATGACGATGACGATGATGACGATGACGATGAAGATGACGATGACGATGAAGATAACGATGACGATGATGACGATGATGATGACGATGATGAGCATTCTTCGCATGCTTGCCGCACTCCGCCGAGGCGCCGGCGTTGACCTCTGACGTCAAGAAATTGCAACTTGTGCACTCAACGAAAGGTTGCGGCGCGCTCCTTTAGCTCACTGCTGGTGAAAGCTGCCCGAATGTTAATATCCTGCCGGCGAATTAACACTTTCAAGCGCTCGTCAGGTAACCCTGTGGACCTCGTCTCCAGGTGACGGCAGTGGGGGGGGGGGTCTCTCAACCCTCGCCCCCCAGTACACATCTCTGTGGACATGGGATAGGAGCTCAATTGCCTTAATTTTATCAGTTAAAAGTAAACATGGTTAATGTGCACTGTTTACTATTGAGATGCCGTCGAGAGTACGTTACGCTTTTTTGTGGCGTAGTAATTTAAAAAGCGTCATCGCTCAGTGGAGATAAGCATTATCTTGCGAGGATGGGTTAATACTGAATCTGAGACAGGCATTCGAACTCGCATAATTTGCATGTTAAGCTAAGCAGCGCTGCGTCCTACCCACTCGGCTACAGCCACTTCGCACAATTAAAGCTAAACCAAAAGTTTGTATTTTATCAGGTAAGGCCCATTGAGCTGCATAGTTCTTTTTCAGAAGCGACCTGACAGCTGAACGAAGTGGCTCATCTCGTGGCCATTCATAGCAGCCAAATACTCTAAACGTTTGTTTGTAAATGTGGAGGGAAACAAAACACAGAGGGACCCAGAGAAAAATACACGCGACCATGGGAAGTTAACCTGAGCGGCGCACACCCACCCACCTACCCACTCACTTACCCAGCCACCCACCCACCTACCCACTCACTTACCCACCTACCCACCCACCTACCCACCCACCCACCTACCCACTCACTTACCCAGCCACCCAGCCACCCACCTACCCACTCACTTACCCACCTACCCACCCACCTACCCACCCACCCACCTGCCCACTCACTTACCCAGCCACCCACCCACCTACCCACTCACTTACCCACCTACCCACCCACCTACCCACCCACCTACCCACCCACCCACCTACCCACCCACCCACCCACCTACCCACCCACCCACCTATCCACCCACCTACCCAGCTACCCACATACCCACCCACCTACCCACTCACCCACCTACCCACCCACCTACCCAGCTACCCACCTACCCACCCACCTACCCACTCACCCACCTTCCCACCTACCCAGCTACCCACCCACCCAGCTACCCATCCACCTACCCACCCACCTACCCACCCACCCACCTGCGCGATGATGAACACCCCTCCGCCGGCGATCTTGCTGCCCGTGTTGAGGCCGTGGCCGGACTCGCGCTTGGCACCGTCCACGTAGATGGCCCACGAGCCGTTGCGTCCGCCCCACGCGACACACACGTGGCGCCAGCGGCCGTCGGCCAGCGAGCGCAGCGGGCGATAGGGGCCGTGCTTGCCGTGCACGATGAGCGCCACCTGGAGCTCCTCGCCGGCGGCCGAGGGCACGTTGGCGCGCAGCTGGAAGGCGTTGGTGAAGTCGGGCGCGGCGTACGAGAAGAGGGTGAGGATTCCCGGCTGCGGGTCGAGGCACTGCACGCGCAGGCACGCGGTGACGGCGTCCAGGTCGGGCACGGGGACGTGCAGGCGAGCGAACTTCTTGTCGGTGCGCTCCGGGAACTCCAGCACGGGGACGCTGGGCGGCTCTGCGGAGGGAGACGCCAATGTTGCCCGCTTTATAAAGCGGTTCCCGACGGATGAGCGCAATTTCAACTGAAAATTGCGAAAGATCAGCGACGACTAACATTTCTTTTAGAAAAGTTCAACATCGCAAAATCGCGTACCAAGGCCACCGACGGAAGAGGCTTGGGAAGGGGGGCGTCCCGGCCTCCCCGAAGCGTCGGTGTCGCCGGGCACGGCCCAGCTGACCCGCGCCCCGATCCAGAGGGAGGGACGAGATCCCGGCGAGCCGCGCGGGCTCAGGAGTCGTGCCAGGGCCACGTTGTCTGCGGCCGAGGTGACACTGGCCAGGCGGCCGAAGCGGCGGTGGCATGCTCGCTCCGCCGCTGCCCATCGCTCTGGCCCCACCGTCTCCTCGTAGTGGGAGCCCAGGCGCGAAAATTGCGCGCCTGCGAAAGTGGAAAGTCGTTTTCGCGAGCTTTTCTTGCCTTGGCGCCGCGGTGATTGTCGTCGTTGTCGGGGGTGGGGGGGGGGAGGTTGTTCTACGACCGCCGTGGATTTCACGCATTGTAAGGGTTTTTTGCAGCGGGCAATGTTACGATTCGTAAAGAGATTTTTGTTGTTGTTGTTTTGGGTTAGGCCACTTTACGATCTGACCCACGAGTGTGTGTGTGCGCGCGTCGTGAACCCTTCTCCATTTTTTGTTAGATGTATTTGTTTCAACGAAGAAACCGTGAGAGAAACATTACCCCAAGAGATAGCGAACAAGACAAAGAAACGGCGAGTGGCATCAGAGTGATGACACCGGCCGGAGTGTCATGATAGCACTCTGAACTTGCGTCAACATTCCGTAAGAGCATGGGATCAGGCCGTCATAGGGCTCGCGGGACTACGTGGTGTCCAGTAGAGGGCAGCGTAGGAACGCATCCCTTGCAGGCTTCGCTTAACTCGTGGCGGTGCTCACACTACAACGCGTTTTCGCTATAACGCGGTTCTTACTTCCGGGAACACTTTTCACACGACGTGGAACGCGCCCCGCGGTACAACGCGGAACACGATGTAACGCGGAACGCGTTGTAACGGGCGTCAGGGTCGGGATCGCACCCACGTCCTCCTGTATACCAGGCTAGGTGGTTAACATCTCGCCACAGTGGTTCCCCATTATTGGCGAGGCCCCCAAATTTTTTATTTTCTGCGTAGGGCCCCCCATGGGCCTGCACCACCACTTGCCCGCGGGAGAGGCAATACTCTCCTCCACATCCATCGTTCAAAATCTGTGGTCTCTCTATGAATCCAAGGGCCAGAGCAGAAATCGGTACCACCAAAGGTAGCAAAGCATGAGTCGTACTTTTATATTCATGTGGCCAATAAGAGTGAATTTACTTGATAACCCACAAACGTCACCTAGTTATTGATTCATTCACCGTTATTGGCCAAATACAGTCAATGAATTGGAACCAACTGAAGTTATGCAACATCTCCGATTTCCACATCTCCAATTAGCACGGTTGGCGACGTACGGTGCAAAGGAAGTTCAACGTACATACAATCGGTGGTACCGACAAATTAAATTTGGTCTGGGCATACAGACTAAACAATTCCCTCTTTGCTCATGATCACAACCGCCCCCCCCCCCCCTCTTCTGCCCAGCACATCTGCCCAGATGGAGTAATGGAACTCATCACGTAGATGCGTCTGGTCGTTATACATTTGAGGTGTGGAACACCAGCCCGTTTAATGCAACATTACACAGCCAGCTTTGCATAATGTCTACGGCGTGTTCAGCGTTAATATGCAGCACTACGATGTACCTCACTCACCACTTACCCCCCACCACCACCACACACATCCCAAGACCCTAACACCTCCGGCTATAACCCGAGGGCAGATTTATTGCGATGAAAAGTCAGGTCTCACCGGAGCTTGTGTGAACGCAGGTAAACTGGAACACCTTGGGGCGCGGGAGGGGGGAATGAGATGCGAGTTATTTAGCAATGCAAATGTACTCAAGTCATCATCAGTAGAATGGCACCTATGGTGATCCGTCTATAGATATCCCACGGAAATACTATGGAGACATTTGCCAAGGGGATTTTCAACGTTTCATTTCAAAGCTTTGAAAGTGTCTCCCACATTCTCCTGTGTATGAGCCGTCACTTCAATCACAATATCCAATCGCCTGCTATCAACGAGGGCCATTGCCTTAAACGTCGCCTATTTTGCTATTTCTTGTCAGCTTTTAGGCCACTATTATTGCTACGTATGGTGCGAATGAAGTTCTACATACACACGAATGTGTTTAGCTTGGCCAACGCAGTTTCACAAAGCGCGTCGATTGAAAGGATGGGCTATATACATGAATGGGGTAACTATAAATAAATATAACTATATTTATAACTATAAATCGATAACCACGCATGATATAATTAACGGAGGAAAACCGAATTAAGGACTTATCGGCCCCGCCACAATATTTATGCCTTTACCACGTTAACCGATCACGGCCCATGTACAAAATTAAGTCGTTATACACGCTTCGCGCTTCTGATTATTGTTCAAGCACGTCCCAGGTCGAGGCGGTGTGTGTGAAAGGGCACCCCCTGTGGCAGCTGCCCCTGTGCGACACAAGATGACCCTGCATCTGGCCTGCAAGCGGGCATCAGTCTTGCCAATATGGGGCGATGCTTGCTGTGTGTACTGTACTGTAATCCCAACCGCGTAATTTGCGACTAAATTTATCGAGTTCGGATGATGACGCAGCACATGATGGCCTGCTCTTTTTTAATGATGCCACGTGATCATTCAACTGGCCACAAACGATAGCTCAACGAAATGGCTTATCATCATGTGTAAATGTATAGCAGCCACATACTCAAAACGCATGTTGATTCTGAATGTGGAGGGGAAAACCGTAGGACCCTGAGAGACATCAACACGACCACGGGGAGAGAGACACGAAAACTCCAAATATACAGCAGTCGTCAGGATTGGGATCGAACCCACGACCTCCTGTATACCAGGCGAGGTAGTTAACATCTTTCCAAAATACCCTCAGTATAGGGGCTCTGTAAGAGCTCCCTGTCTGTGGTGGAGGCCCTTCTGCCAGCAGTAGCGCAAGTAGGAAATTGCAGGGCTGCTCCTTTACTCATTTTTTTTTACCATTGCAAGCAAACGGAGCGAGCAAAACTGAACAATCGAGATGGTAAAAAAAAACATCGATTGTTGAATCGAATCTTGACCTCGGATCCTGGCAGTTCATGGAATAGCTTGACAGGGGGTAGCTGGGGGATGGGTGAATAGCGGAAGGTTAAGGGGTCAAACGCGACATGCCTAATACCTATGTAAATGAGAATTCTCAGCTTAGACTCACTTGGAATAAGGCGAGCGTGATGGTGGCACATCCCGGGAGCAGTGACATCCTGAAACCCAAAGGAGCACACGCATTCTCAAGGTCACCACCACCATCATTATAATTGTCGTCATAGAAAGGGCCCTTTATTCCTGAAGAACACAGTGATACCCAGCTGTATTTATTTATATTTGCGTCCGCTGCGTGGAAGATCATCATCATCAGCAGCAGCAGCAGTCATGGGCAATCAACTGTTGGATGGAGACCTCCCCAACCCACCACCAGCCTCTCACAATCGTGCGATGTAATAATTCACCCGGCAGCGCCTTCACTCGAACTGATGTCATTGCGTCAGTTGATGTCATCTCGGGCACCTTCTATCACTTGGCCAGCGCTCGGTTATTCCTCTTGACAACCGACAATAATCCCGCCACAGCGGCTCATAGCTCAGATTATTTTCAGATGACATAGCTCAATAATTAATTTCACTCTGGAGGGTAAAAGTGGTGAATAACCGGCTGTTATGCAACACACCATTTTGTTGGTGTTGCTACAGAAATAAAAGGCAGGTGGCAGGCAGTAAGGGCTGAGGACACAGGCCCCCTGTCTCTGCAAACAAAGTTTTTCCTCGAAGGCTTAGGGAAGCGGCTGATGAACTTTTACGAAAGAAGAAGCTAAAATATTGCTTTCTCATGAAATCTTGATTCTCTGATTCCCATCTCTCGTGCCAATTATATCCACAGAAAATTATTGAAAATGCGTGTTTTGCTTTTTTTCTGCAGGAAACTGCACGGGGGTAATCAAATGTTGGCAATTTTCAAAATTACAACAGCCACTTAGAATACGAGTGTATGGTGGGGGCTAGGGGAAAGGGGGGGGGGGCTGGGGGAACTGAAGTGAACACATTTCATCCTCTCGTGTAAAATGCTTAGTCAACATAGCTGCCGGTGACATGCCATTATGCGCCGAAAGAGAGAGAGAGAGAAAGACCCCTTTGCTAACTTATGATTTAATTTTACGTTAGCAGATGAACGACAAACAACCGGAATAAATCACACGTATTATTTACAGCTTACCTTTTAAAGACGGATGGCTCTTTATGCGTGTACCGTCCAGAGAGAAAGAGAGAGGGTGAGAGTGGAACGAGCCCTCAGCAAGAGAACTTGCCCGTAGCATCAGCAGCCGCGGCAATAGTTGTACATTATTACTGCACGCAAAAGACGCAACGTTGATGACGATTCCGGATTTCGGTGGCCAGTCATGTCTCCGAACTCCTTGCGGAAATATCCACCGACGGGGTGGACTGATGAACCAAAAAAAAAAGAGCTTGTGATTGATTCAGAAAAAAAACAGACCCACCCGCGAATAAATTGTATAGTAAGATTTTTTTTAATAAACAATAATACGACTACATATCACGCCTTGAAAACTCCATAACTACAAACGGGACTACAACGGCGGGGCTTACTTACACAAGCCCCCTGGCTTTAGACACGAACTACTAGCACCAGCTACGGGAGAGGAGGGTGACAAGCATTCAGTGTTGGGGCGGGGGGGGGGGTTGTGGCGTTGTTGGGGAGGAGGAGGAGGTGGTGGGTGGTGGGTGTTCAGATTTTTTTGTAGAAACCGTAACCCGTTCCCAGAGCACAGCCCTTTCACATGGTAATGAAAGCCATCAATCCAGGGTGGCGTTGCATTCCGTCTCCAAACAGCGGTCTTAATGAGCGAGATACGGCAGAGAGACGAGAGAGATGGTCATGGACACAGATGTTTGCCCACAGAATGTGTGTGTGTTCGGGTTTATTTAAATATATATATTCCCGTCCCATTTTGTTGGCTCTAAAGATGTGAACAGCACAAAGACAAACGCCATCAGGCTGAAAGTTTGCTTGACTTTGCAGAAAGTTGAATTACACTTTAATGGCTTGATGTAACAATCCAGGTAGATCGCTGTCCGTGCAAAAGAGACAATGTTTCATGTGTCTCGACGGGCCCCCTGTTTTATCTCCCGGTGAAATGAAATATATTACTGCTACGGGAAAGACCGGCGCTTCGTGGACATGCGCTCTTCATTACGATCACCCTCAGCCATCCTCAATCCACTGCTAGATGAAGGCCTCACCAACCCTTCGCCATCTCTCATGCGGTCCTGTGATGTAATATCCCACGTGGCATCCAACCTGACACGAGCTGATTTAATCGCTCCGTCTCTCTCGTGAACTGCGTTCTGTGTTTGTTTACGGATGTGTACGGCGTATGCACGTCTTTGCTGTGGATGGATGCATTTACCTAGACCAGTACGGATAGTTAATAACGCCTAATTAGAATATTGTATATTGTTACTAATAATCTACATTGATTATGCACAGGCCCTTTGTCAATCCACTGGCGGATGAAGGCATCCCCATGCAATGTCGGCCGTACTTGACCATACTTCACCACTCCGGTCAGTGTGGGTTGGTCAAGTCGGTAAGGACCAGGGCCAGTTCAGATGTCACTTGCCACTGATGTTAGCCGTGGCCGGGAATCAACTCTCAAGTCCGCCGAGATCGTAGTGCATTGTGTAGAAGTATTGTCAAACAATCCGCATGACCGACAGCGTGGGGAAGCCTTCATCCAACAGCGCACTGACAATGCGTTCTCAATAAACCTTGTGTATGACCAATACGCAATGTAAAAAATATGTGTCAGTCGTCGCAGATGGCTGATTCAATATCAAGACATCTGATTATAGATTTTAGTGTTCGCTGCAGAAACATATCACCACCCCCGCCCATCCAGAACGTTTCAGGGTCTCGATTGTGAGCGTCTCGAGTGGCTGTAGTGGTTCGAGGTGGCTCGTAGCACGATCTATGTATCCACTGGCGTGTACGAAGCCCTGTATAAGTAGTGCGGTCATAACAGCGAAATAACACGTGTTTACAAGAGCGCCCGAGACGAAGATCGTCTTGTACGAGGCACACATAGAAAAGGAACATAATTTAGCCTCGGGGAAATGACTCGAACATGTGGGATAGGTTTTACAAAAACAATAATACACATTTTCCTCGGATCGAGCCCCTCATTTTAAAAGCAAATTTCGAGGCGCGTTACGGAATAACGGCAAATTGCAATGCGGCGATGTAGGGCGCAGAAGCACGCGGCATTAACACGATGAAACAAAACGATATGTCCTGACATTAACACGTGAATTATTCTGGGTAGAAATGCTTTTGGTTTCCTTCTTCTTCGTGTGCCGCCAGGTACTTCGTGCCAAAAGTTTGTTGCGACGCAGGTGAATTCAGGGTCACCCCATTGTATGAAGTACATTTGGCAGAAGGTGCTTAGAATTGCGTATAATTGTTACCATCACCGCCACCACCACCACCACCACGACAATCATTGCCATTATTATCACCCCCAGTACTGTCATCATCATCGTAACCACTTCTGCCATGATCATCGTAATTATCATCACCGCTACTCAACACCGTCACCATCATTATCGCCACCCCCATCACTATCGCCACTGTGATCATTATCACCACCACCACCAATGCCACCACCATGGTAATTTTTTTTATTTCGCACCTCCGATTAACACTGTTTGCAACGTACTGTGCGAAAGAAGTTCAACATACACACATCATCGTAACAACCACCACCACCACCATCATCACTACGATCTTAGCTCATCGGTGTGACGTTTCTTTGACGTGGAGACAAATGTGTTGCCGCACTGCATTGCACGCCAGCAATCGGCGAGCGGATCCGCGCGCCTGATGCCGCTAATTGCGCCGCTGACACGCAAGAAGGCCGTGCCGGGCGTGCAGATGAGACGCACGGCAGTTCATTGTGCCCGCCGGAGCTGTCGGGGCCGACGGGGAGTGGAAGCGACGAGGCCGTAGCCCACGCGAAGCACAGCGTGGGTCCCGGCTCGGATTCGCATATATAAAAAAAAACAAGGTTAGAGCAGGGGTCGTCGCCCGAGCAACCACGCACACAGCAGCAGCAGCGGCGGCATCATCCTCGCAGCATCACCAAACCACTCGCAGTACAGGTCTAAAAAAATTAACCCGTAAAAACTAAGTTTTTCACTATAAATCCTTTATATGCGTGGCGGCTAGAGTCCTCTCGTCCTCTGGCTTGAGATGGCTGCCACCTATGGGTCAGATGATTGCCTGCCACCATCAAGCAATTGGTAATTAAATATAAAAAAAGAATTCCTAAAATGTTGAAAATGTTGGAATTTTTTTTCACAAAATAAATTGTCACGCACAACGAGTCTGTGTGCAAAATGTCAGCTCGATTGGATCACGGGAAGTGGGTTAAAAAACGACCGAAAGATTTGCAGGGTCGTAAGCGTGCAAGCAAGCAAGCAAGTGAACTTAATATAAAGGATTAAAAAAAAAATTACTGCGTGTGATAGTACTGCGTTGGCAGTGGTGTCCAAGCACAAATGACGGGCAGATGTCTCTCTGCGATGAAGAAAGGCCATTGCCCGAATCGTGGAACCTTTTTATATATCTTAGGGCAGTGCTATTGACGAAAGTGTTTGCGTGTGCATTATATGTGAATGAAGCACGTATTCTAAGCTCGATTATATATGTATTGCATGTATTGGACAGGCGTCATCAATAACCACGCAGCCGTGGTCAATCCGCTGCTGAGGTGAAGGCCTTCCCAGCCCCGTCGAGATATTTCACGATCTTGCGATGTAACATCCACCGATCTCGTGCACGACACACGCGAGCTTATTTAATCGCTCCATCTCCTTAGAGGCAGCCGTCCTGCCGGGCGCGTTCCGTCTCTTGGCTGCTGTGACCCCACTCGATATTCTTGACCAGCCTGCTCAAATGTAATGCACGTGTACGGTCATGCATATCGTTATCATTCACGGCCCTGTGTTCATCCACTGCTGGATGAAGGTGGTTGTTTGACCATACTTCGCTACGCTGGTCAATGCGGGGTGCACAACATGATTATATATTAGTGTACGGTACAATAATAACAATAATTGCCATGATTATTACTATAACTGATACTTTATATATATGTTAGGCCACGTATGTTGTCCAGGTGCATTCACGTTGATCAGTGTGTGGAAACACCTCTTGTGGAGTATAAGGGTGTCCCTTCCAAAGGCACCGGAGGAGAATTGATGGGCGCAATGCACAATGCCAGAGAGCCACGCTGCGCGCCTGACTGCGGGAGATAAGAGTCCTCACGCTTTGTCACAAATAAAGCGCCGCACGCGATAGTTGAAAACCATTCTGCAGAGCATACGCGTGTTTGTGTATGCACATATGCGGCGTGGAGCGGTGGTGCGGCAATGGGTAGCGCACGGTGCCCGTGCTGTGATCCCGGCCAACCGAGTAAGATTTCCAGCCACGGCTGACATGGGTGGCGAGTGATAATTATCTAAAGCGGTCCTGGACTCCCACCGCACCCCTCTAACCCCTCCACCCCCGTCGCAATCAATCCCCAATGACCAGCGTGGTGAAGTATGGTCATGCAATCCCCATGACCAACACGGTGTGAGGAGGCCTCCATCCAACAGTCGATTTTAGAAATTATGTAATTTTTGTTTATATAGCTTCATTTTGGTACTGTCTATGGGTATATAGTTCAAAAGCACGCACGTTCGAAATGACCCTGGCCAGAATTATTTGACAATTCTCGCCCCACGCTCGTAATTTGACAACCTGTCCTGGTTCAGGGCAACTATTTGATTCAAGCGAGGATTATTGTTACATTACGATAAGTAGTGGCGCCTCCAATGAAGGCAGACGGTGACGTGAACCTATTACAAACATGTACATCTGTAAGTTTGAAAAAACCCTTCCATGCACAATATTCGATGTGTGGATAATAAGTTGGAGTCATCGATATAAATCGACAAAAAGACGTATTTCACCACCACCACCACAGTGCATTTATTGCGGCTCTTGACAATCCATCACATGGCCATAGTGTGGTTAATGCTGGGAATATCGTGACAAGACAGGGGAAGAGAACACGGGGCTGGTAAGTAAGCGTCGTTAGATATGAACGGGCAGAACAGCGGCTGTGCAGGGTAGGGCACGTGCGCACTCATCGCTGATGAAGGCCGATTGGGAAGAGAAGACCTAAGTAAGACCCGTTGGTGGGACACTGTCACTGTAGACCAGGGGTCAGCACAACCAAAATAACAAGAAGAGACTTTTTTTTTATTCGTTAAAGAACTCGATATTTCAAGAGCGGCGATGCAACGTGACTGCGAGACGGCCGCCTTTAATGCATACGAAGCAGCGATTCTTAAAGAGCCACACGCGTCTCCAGATGCCGGAGGTTGCCGACCCCTGGGGTAGCCCTTCAAGGTCGTTGCGTTGTCAACTGTGCAGCAACTGCGGGGCTGGCGGAGGGTGGCTATATATTTTTTGTTTATCCGACATATGGTCATCATCATCATATCACGCACTTTTGTATCTCCAGGCGAGAACCCATTGAGGCAAAACGTCACTTTTTATAAGGGTGACCTGGTC